CACGTACCCAAGATCCGAGGATTGCTAGGAGCGCCCTCTGTGCAGCTGCTAGCTATCCTCGGATCTTGGGTACGATTGTGAGCGTCGCCGCTCATAGTCCTACAAGATGTAGGATTGCGAGCGCTACTGCTCGCAATCGGAGGCATGTTGCTAGGATTGCGAGCAGTGCTGCTCGCAAACCTAGACTTTGCTCGGATTGCGAGCGCGCTGGTAGTAGTCGTAGGCGTCACCAGTCACCTTGGGAGCGGAGCTGCTCTTAGTCCTAGAAGATGTAGGATTGCGAGCGTGGGTGCTAGCAATCGCACAGAGATGCTACGATTGCGAGGAGTGCTGCTCACAATCCTTCGACTTCTAGGATTGAGAGCGAGGCTGCTCTCAATCCTTCCGGTCTAGAAAAGAAGGTTCACCGTCACTCCAGATCCATAAAATGTCGCATTTGCAGCGCATTTTGTTGCAAACAAGTGTGCAAATGATTGTTTTGACCAGTACTCACCTGCCCCTGCGGAGCATGCGCATGCTAGCCTCTCGTACATGCACTCTCTCTTCCGTCCGCACCCGCACGGTACCCATAACCCATTCCAGAGCCCACCATGCCGCTCGCACCCACCCACTATGCGTGTCATGCCAGCAGTGCTATGAGCTAATCACTTGGGGATGCCCATGAAGCCGAAGATCCTGGCCTGACTCTCCCGCTCACTCTGCTCGCGTGCGCGCGAAGCGTTCAACTCGGCCAGCATCATGCCCTGCGCAAAGGTTGGGGAGAACATGCTGATGCTCCCGCCCGGCTGTGCAAACACGGAGGGGGCCGTCTCTGCATCGCAAGTGCGATAGAGCGGCGCCGCCGGTGCCGGCTTGGCCCTCTTGCGGCGCTGCCCCTGCGGCGCATCCCCCGGCGGTGGCGGCCCGGGTGGTGGTGGCGGCGGCGGAGGCGGCGGCGGCGGCGGCGGCGGAGGCGGCGGCGGTGGCGGCGGCCGCGTCCACGTCGTCTGCTTGTCGACCGAGTTGTAATAGTAGGGGCGCCCATTGCCGTCCACGTACTCGGTCCAGTCCTTGCCGAGCGCGGCCTGGCTCTCCTCCTCCTCCTCCTCCCCCGCCTCGTCGGCGTCCGCGTTCTCACGCGCCACCTCCGCTGGTCGCACGCGCTCGACGAGTGACGCCTTAGCCTCGCTGCGTATGGACCAGAGGCCAAGAGCCTTGGCGGCGGCAAGGAGATCAACGACCGTGCGCTCTCCTCCTCGCTTGCCGCCGCGTCGCTTGCCGCCGCGCCGCCACCTCTGCCACCTCCGCCACCGCCGCCGGCGCCGCCGCCGCCGCCGCCGCCACCTCCACCACCGCCGCCGCCAGCTCCCGTGCCGCCCTGCCGAGCTGCAGCAGAGCGGGCAGCACAGCGGGGGGGGTTGCGTGCCTGCTGGGACTTCTCCCCCATGCTGCGGGCGGATGGCCAGCTCTTGTTCTGCTGCAGCATCCTGACGATGTCCGCCTTGGTGGCTTGGTCGGCGAAACCTCCCTCGAGCGCCTCAACGTGCATCCACGGCACAAAGTGGAGCTCGCTCGCGCGGGAGTAGACAGCGACAAAGTTGCGCCCATGCCCGCTGGCGCGCTCGCTCGAGAGCTTGAAGGCCCCGGCGCAGAAGCCATCGCCAGAAGTGGCGGCCGGCGGGGGTTACGCCTCACGCATTACGCATACGCTTGATGCATTCGCACGCCCAAGGTGTCAGAGAGGGCCTCCGCACCACGTACTACGCACACGCATTCCGGATTCGAGTGAGAAGTGGTGGCTGACGGGGGTTACGCCTCACGTATTACGCCTCACGTATTACGCATACGTTTTACGCATTCGCACGCCCAAGGTGTCAGAGAGGGCCTCCGCACCACGTACTACGCACACGCACTCCGGATTCGAGTGAGAAGTGGTGGCTGACGGGGGTTACGCCTCACGTATTACGCATACGTTTTACGCATTCGCACGCCCAAGGTGTCGGAGAGGGCCTACGCACCACGTACTACGCACACGCATTCCGGATTCGAGTGAGAAGTGGTGGCTGACGGGGGTTACGCCTCACGCATTACGCATACGTATTACGCATTTGCACGCCCAAGGTGTCGGAGAGGGCTTACGCACCACGTATTACGCATACTTATTACGCATCCCCCCCCCAAACCCCCTTTATGTGCGCGCACTGGCGCTGCCGCTAGGGCTGCCATAAGTTGGCTGGGGTTGTATGTGCGCTGGTAACAACAGACTCGGGCATAGCCCTCGACAGCCACCCCCTAACCCCCCCACCCCCCCCCTTTATGTGCGCGCACTGGCGCTGCCGCTAGGGCTGCCATAAGTTGGCGCTGCCGCTAGGGCTGCCGCATAATCATGAGCCTGTCTCCAAACACCTCTCCGACGCGCTCGACTATAGTCCAAATTGGACGGTGGACTATATGTCGGGACGGCGGCCATTTGCTCAGGCGTCAGAATGCTGAGCTCGTACACTGGCAGCTCCGCAGAGGTTGAGGACGGCGGCGGCGGCGGTGGCGGCGCGGTGAGATCGCTGGTGTCCCTGCCCGCCTCCCTGCGGGCGTAGAAGAGCGCCGCCTCCTCGGCGGTGGCGAAGTAGCCGAGATGAACCATCTTGCCTTCAACCGTCGCCTGCAGCTTGTACTTCTTGCGGCCTTGCTCCTTCGGGCAGAAGGACACGCCTTTGTAGCCGCTGCTGCTGCCGCTGCTAGTGGCCAGAGTCAGGCCCTCCCTCTCCGCCTGCCGTATCGCGTCGAGGCCATCGGCAATGGGAGCAGCGCGGGGCTGCAGCAGCTTGGCGGCGTCGGCGCGGCCGTACTCTGAGCGAGCGTAGGCGGTGGCCGCCTCTTCGGCGGTGTCGAAGGAGCCGAGGAAGACACTCTTGCCGCCAGCTCGCACCTTCGCCTCGAACTGCTTGCTGCTGCGGTGGAAGGTCACGTTCTTGTAGCCAGTCGTGCTGTCCTTGCAGATGGCTGGGATCAGCACAACGCCCTCTGACGACGCGGTCCGCGGCGGGGCCATCATGCAACGCACGTAGATTCGCAAGTTTGACAATTGGGATTCGTATTGGAGTAAAACAAGCTGCGCGTGGCCTGAACATTTGCCAGGCAATCATCTGTTTTGGCGAGCACAAAAAGAAAAATGCGTAATGCGTAATGCGTATGCGTGATACGTAGGGGGGGGGGGGGGGGGCTCGGGGGCGGGCGGGGCGAAATACATAATCCGTAAACGTGAGACGTGGTACGTAAGGCACCCGCCGCGCGGGCCATTGCACCGTCCCCCGGGCAAAGCTTTGCGGTGAAAAGGACGTATGCGTAATGCGGATACGTGATACGTCGAAGACGCCCCGCCCCCCCACGGGCCGCGGCGCACCGGCGGAGATCCATAATCCGTATACGTGACACGTGGTACGTATGAGGCAACCACAGGGCCATCGCACCGTCACGCACGCGATGATTACGTGTATGTATTGACGTTTTCTATTTATTTTTGAAGGGGGAGGCGGTCGACGGGCTGCGTAATGCGACGCATTTGGACTGGCAAGTGACGTACACGCACCGAGTATACGTATTCCCGAGAGGGCGTAATGTGATGCGTATGCATATGGGCCTCCGTGCATATGCGTGCGTAGCAGTCCTACTCACGATTGGCGTTATATAGGGCGCGTTTCCGCGGGCCTTTTTGAGCCACTCGCCATGTGGGGCGGAGTGTCCTCGGCCGGGGGACCAGCACCCACCATTCATGCGGCTGCTTGGGCGCACCCTTTGGGAGATTGCTGATTGCCGGTAGCTGGTAGCCGACAGACATCCAGTTCATCCGCTAGCGTGGCGCTACCTGGGCGGACTACCTTAACCGCGGCACCGCGGCGGCGGCCGGGCTTACCGTGCACCGTGCACCACGTACCAGCTACCAGCCTACCACTGGATCGCTACTCGCGCTGTTGCCACACAGCGCACTACCGTACAAGTACGCCGCGCCAGGGCCCAAAATTGCTCCACGTCAGTGCCAGCTGCGTTGCAGTCTGTTACATGGTGCAGGTGCGGCGGAGAGGTCATGTGATCTGGGGGTGGCGACATGTGCCGACGCTGGCGGCTAGCCGCCAGCGCCCACACCGCACAAGGTGCACACAACTGACGATCACTGCAGCTCTCCGAATTCAGCGGCTGTCAACGCCCGTCGCTCCGCTTGCATGCCGCCGGCAACATGACCGACTCCTCATCCTCGGGTAGCAGCACGACCTTCGACGCGGACGTGCTGAGGCGCGGCGCAGCCCCCGAGCCGGCTGCCTCGCTCGCAAAGGTGACAAAGTACATGCCGACTACGATTGCAGCGCCGCCGAGCGCTTGGCCAGGCGTGGGCAACTCCTCCAGGACCAGCGCCGAGAGCGCCGCGCTGAAGAAGGGCTGTAGCGGCACGAACGAGGCGGCGGTGGTGGCGCCCACGTGGCGCACGCCAAAGTTGACAAGGACGTAGGCCACCCCCGATGCCATCAGCCCGCCATAGGCGGCGCATCCCCACGCGAGCGACGAGGCGTTTGCGAGCGGCGCGAGAAGCCCGGCCACACCGCCTCGTCGCTGATCGACCGCGCACCAGACTGCCATCGGAAGCAGCCCCCACGCGAGCACCCATGCCGTCAGCGTGAAAGTGGGCAGCTCACGCAGTGCTGGCTTCTGCAGCAGCAGGTAGAGTGCCATGCCCACGCAGTTGCATAGCAGCAGCAAGTCCCCCAGCAAGGGCGAGCGCCACGGTCGCCCGCCGCCTTCGATGCCCCCACCCAGCGCTACGAGTGCGACACAGCCCGCGGCGGAGATGGCGATGCCGGCGCACTTTCCAGCAGAGACGCGCTCTGCGATGGGCGGGGACCGATTCGCGTGGGAGGGAGGTTACTCGAGGAGGTTACTCGAGGAGGCGCACGCGCCGGGAGGGGGCTCGGGAGGGTTGGGGAGGTTGGCAGCGCTGCGCACCGATTTTCAGCGCAACAGTGAGGAAGGCGGTCAGAACAGGCTGTAGCGGCTGGGATATGGCGAGGTTGATGGCGGACGTGTAGTACATCCCAGCAATGCCGAGCCCCATGGAGCCGCCGACTCCAGTGAGACCAAGGAAGCAGAGCAGCGGCTGTAGTCGCAGCGGAGGCATCACCCAGCCATCGTGACACACGGCCAGCGCAAACATTGCCGGCATCGCAATGAGCAGCCGCAGCAGAGAGAAGATGGAGGGTGCCAGCTCACGCAAGCCGATGGCCGAGAGGACATGAAACCCCGAGAAGATAAATTGTGCGCCGACTAGCGCACAGAGCACAAGCACACGCGGCGCTGCTCCACCGTACCCGGCGATCTGGCTGGAAGCGCAGGTTGCCGACGATCGGCTCGCAGCGCAGCCCATGAAAATGTCCCTGCTCGCGCGGGTTGTTCGTAAGACGAGCGTCACTTTGTACCAGACCGTTTTGAGTAACCGGGGAAGCCGCCGGTGGCATCTCTTTCCACCCAAGAAGCCCGTTTGGAGGGATGGGCGGCAGTGTGCGGGCGGTGAGTGCTAGTCGTAGTCCTCTCATCAAAATTTAGAACGAAACGCCCCTCGCTCCCTTCTTTTCCCTCTGGGTTGTTGTGCGAGTATATGGGACACGATGTCTCAAATATGAGGGGTTTTGACTCCTACCGGCTCCTGACGCTATCCCTGGCAGCTCTAATGGCCAGGGTCAGTAGTGTTGTGATAGATGGTGCCCATACTAGCGCAGGAGCTGCCACACTCGCCCGGACCGTCCCCTTCTGGGGCCGGTTCCGCAGCCCGCGAGAGCCGACAGCGGGGCCGTGCCGCGGGTGCCTACTGCCGAGTGCCACAAACACTGCGCCGTCCCGCCATCACCTACAGGCTGTCTTGTGTGATGGTTGGGATGTCCAAACGCCACCATCTTGGCTCTTGCGACCTCAAACCCGCGAGCTGTATGGGTGGTCCTGACGTCGACAGACGCCCGAGGACCATGGTGAAGCTGAGCCGGAACGCGTCGACAAGTCTCGCCTGAGCCCGTGGCGGTCGCCGGCTGAGTCGCTGTGCACGGACCGGTACCTCAGGCGTCACCTCCGCAGCCTCAGGTCTCACACTCCATCACCTCCGCCGGGACGCCGTCGGTGGCACGCTCGGCGGCGTACTTTCTGCAGCTCCATCTCGAGTACGGCGTCGAGCCTACTCACTCCAGTTGGATACACGCACTCCCTGGGACCCAGGGAGTGCGTGTATCCAGCAAGCGGTGCGACCCGGCAGCGCGCGCAGGCTGCGGAGCTGCAACAAACTCGAGACACGCTTTTTTGGGACATTATTAATTAGGTCGGTCGGGGTCCCGGGGGTCGATTTTTGGAAGTGAATAGCACGGCATAGAAACTGCAAAACAAGGTGCGTTAGCTCGAAAGAAACACACAGGCACCCACATGGGTTGCCATCCCTCAACACAAGTGGCCCACGGTTCACATTCACACACCCGGCCGCACCGCTCACGCACGCAAATGGCTCTCGCACCACCTCAACACACGCGCACGGGGGCGGAGGACGCGCGCTAGTCACTCCTCCTCGCCCTCCTCGCCCTCCTCCGCCTCCTCCGCCTCCAGCTCAGACGCCGCATCGAGCTCCGCCTCGTACGCGTCGATCAAGTCGTCGTGTATCTCTGACTCTGGCTCCCACGTCGACACGTCCGGCGGGTACCCCTTCCAGAGGATCAAGTAGTACGTCATCTCGACCCGCTTCTTGCCCTGTGAGGCGAGAAGAGAGGTGGTCGGGCACGTGAGCGATGGAGTGGCAATAAGCAAGGGCAGGTGCGAGTGTGAGGGCGCAAGCACCTTGCCGACCGTCTCCACCTTGCTGTCGAGAATGCGCTCGATGTCAAACTTCTCACTCGCCTCCCACTGCCAGCCGTTGAGCTCACGCAGATCGACCCTCTTCCTCTTCTTCTTCTTCCCGCCGCCGCCGCCGCCGCCGCCGCCGCCGCCCTCTTCGCCCGCCACGCGCCGCTGCCGCACCTTCCGCACCACGCCGTCGCCGTCGCACCCCGAGTCGCCGTCCTCGAGGTCGTTCGCCTCGACGCCATGCGCGGCGAAGAGGAGGTTCTGCAGCTGCGTGCAATAGTCCGCGCGGTTCGCCTGCGTGACAGTGAAGCCCGTCTTCCCCGCCAGCTTGAAGGCCTTGAGCTGGTCCTACAACAAACGAGAGCCGTGAGTAGTGGGGCACTAGTATACCGCTCAACAGCGTCCGAGAAGCGCCTGCAAGCCGGCGATCGCCAGCTTCTTCAGCTCTGAGTAGCGCCGCACGAGCGGCAGCTGCGCGATGCGCGCGTTCTCGGCCGCCTTGGCCGCCTTGCGCGCCTTCTTGCTGCCCAGCTTCTCGTCGCGCTCGGCGCGCTTTGCGCGGCCCGCCGCGACCAGCTGCGCCTTGAGCGTAACGCGTCTCGCCCGCCCCGCCGCCTTTCGGCACGCCGCAAGCATGGTCTCGGCGACCTTGAGCCCGCCGCGCTCATCGATCTCGCCCGTCAGCCAGCCGGCTTGGTTGTTAAAGCGCCCGAGCGAGTCGCCGGCGCGCGACTCATTGCGCTGCCGCTTGTGCCGGTCGTCGCTGACGCGGCCGACGGCGTGCAGCCGCTCAACCGGCGTGCTCGTCGCCTGCAGCGCGTCGTACTTTGCGCGCAGCGCCGGGGTGATGTTCGCCGAGCACAGCTTGCCGGTCTTGGTGATCGAGCCGTTCGTGGCGACGAGGCCCGCCGGCATCCACTCCGCAGCGTGGTTGCAGACCGCCCGGGACATCGCGCCGAATGCCGCCGTCAGCAAGCGCGTCACCATCGGGTCGTCGGCCGCTGCGGCGCGAATGCGCACCATATCGAGGCGATGGCGCTCGGCGCGGCGCGCCTGCGTTGGAGTTGGCGCGGTAGCGGCGGTGGCGGCCGCCGAAACGTCGCCGAGCTGCAGCTTGAGCGAGCCGTCGACGATGCCCGCGGGCGACGCGGCGGCCGCCTCAAAAAACGCGTGCGCCGCCGGCCACACGCGCGGGAGCACGTCGAGGACGTGCTTGTCCGCGGCTGGCTTGACCGCGCGGATCAGCGGCCAAAACACCGCGTCGCAGATCAGCGCCATGGCGCGCACCCCCGCCATGCAGGGCGGCGAGCGCGCGCCGGTGAGGATAGACTTGCGCAGCTTGCCGCCGCCGGCAGCCTTGAGCATCTCATCCTCGTCGAGGTAGGTCAGCATGGAGATGTCGTGCTCAGTGAGCAGCCGCTCCGTCGGCGCCGCGTCGAGGTAGAAGACGTACGCGCGCGAGCCGCAGATCGCGAGCACGTCCTCCACGTGCCCCACGAGATGCTCGAGCTGCTCCTCGAGGTCTGCCAGCCGCGCCTCCATCCACTCCTGCAGCTTGCGGCCGATGGCGTAGCCCTTGGTCGAGCAGAGCGCGACGTACTTGCTCACCTACGCGTGCGGCGCGGGGGGGTGCGGGATTGGCGCGCGAGTGGGAGTGATCTGCGGTGCGGGGTCGGGGCTGACGGTGCCTGGTAGATGAGCGCGCAGACAGGCGAGCTGAACCAGCCGACGCAGGTCCGCATCGCCTTGATCTTGTCGGCGTGCGCCGCGGCCTGCTCGTCGGTGAAGTTCATCAGCTCGCGCAGGATGGCGTCCATCGCCTTGCGCCCCTCCTCGAGGATGTTGACGAGCGCGTGCTCCGCACAGGTCGGGTCGTCGTCGCCCTCGCCCAGCCCGAGGACCAGCCGCGCAGCGAGCCGCGCCGTAGACGCCCGGTCGTTGCACGCGCACGTGGGGAGGAAGCGGCGCAGCAGCTCCGCCGCGCGCGCATCCGCGAGGCCGGCCTCCTCCATGAGCTTGATGACCTCCTCGATCGACTCGTGGTACGCCGACGCCTGCGCCTCGGCGGTCTTGCTCGAGGCCGTCGACAAATCGAGGGCGCGCAGCTCGAGTTTGCCGTTGACGCGCCGCGAGAGGACGGTGCCGATGCGCTCCATCTGCTGCGCCTCGGCGCCGTCGGCGATGTAGCAGCACGAGGACTCATCCGAGTTCATGAACTCCAGCAGCCACTGGCCGACCTGGAGCTTGTTGAGCTCGTAGGAGACGCCCGCCAGCTCCTTGCAGTGCGTCGCCTGCGGCGTCTCTGGCAGCCGCTTGACGACGGAGGTGCGCTTGCCGTCCACGATCGGGCCGGGGACCTTGATCTCGCGGTACGGCAGCTTGACCCCCAAGAGCCGCGCGAAGATCGGGAACAGCTTCGGGATCTTCTGCCGCGCGATGCCGAGGTGCATCACCGAGATGCACGCAAGCTCCGTCTCGGCGTTGAAGTGGTTGCCCAGCTTGAAGCGCGCCTTGGTGGGCTCGGCGATGGCCTTGAACTTTGCGGCCTCGGCCTGCGCCGCCTCAAGCTCGGCCTGCAGCTTGGCGCACTGCGCCTCCACCGCCTCCAGCTTCTCTGCCGTCGCGTCTCCGCGCCACAAGCTCGCGCGGGCCGCCCGCTCCTCCGAGAGCAGCCGCTGCGACACCGCCAGGTTGCGCTCGACGAGGTTCACGTCGGAGAGCTTGCGCTGCGTCACCTTGCGCCGCGCACTGAGCTCGGTGATGCGCCGCGTGCTCGCCTGCAGCTGCTCGAGCAGCCCCGAGACGCGCATCGAGCGCAGCGCGTCGAGCTGGTCCTCTAGCTGCGCGAAGAGGCCGTGCAGCTGCGCCGCCTCCTCACACGCGTCGTCCCGCTGCGCCTCGGCGACCTTGGCGCGCCGCTCGGCCTCTGAGGCGATGGAGCCAAAGTGCGCCGCGGCCTCCTTCTCCTGGCTGCGGCACCGCAGCTCCGCCGCAGTCTCGGCCTCGCGCGCCGCCGCCTTGAGCCGCCGCACCTCCGTGCAGAGCCGCCCAGTCTCCTGCCGCTCCGCCTGCAGCGCTGCGTCGAGCTTCGCGTACGCCGCGGCGGAGCGCCGCCGCTCGTCGGCGAGCGCGGCGTCGACGGCGGCCTGCTGGCGGCGCGCCGCCAGCTCGAGCTCGACACGCCGCTCGTCGGCGAGCGCCTCGCTCAGCTGCCGCCGCCGCCGCTCATAGTTGAGGAGCAGCGACACCTGCCGGAGCTGCGACGTGCCGCGCCCACGCGGCGGAGGCGCGCCGCGCACCTCGGCGGCGATCAAGCCGAGGACGTCGCGGCAGCCCTCCAAGAGGTGGACGGCGCTGTCGGCGCCGAGGCGCGGGTGCAAACCCTCGGCAAACGCGCGCAGCTGCGCCGTCACGTCGAGCTCGGCATCGAGCGAGGACGCGCCGCCGCCGCCGCCGCCGCCGCCGCCGCCCGTGTCGGCCGCGTCCGAAAGGGTCTGGAGAGGAACGTGCGCCTGCCGCACGAGTTGGTCGAGTTCGCGGTCGGCCTCCGCCGGGTCCTTCCGGCGAGAAACGGCCGTCGAGCGCCGCTTAAGCGCGCGCTCCACGTCCGCCTTGTACGCGGTCATCCGGCGCTTGTACTTCACGAAGTTCGCCTTGGTCTCCGGCGTGGCCAGCGCCGGGAGCGCCCGCGTCGGCGCGAGCGACTCGTGCCCGGCCATCGCCTCGACCCACCTGGTAAAGATGAGACCCGCATCGCCGGCGCCGCCCCCGCCGCTGGCATATTTGCCGGCCAGGCCGACGAGGGCGTAGGCGTCGATGAGGAGCAGGCCGCCCACGGGCCTCGCCAGGGCCGCGGCGGGCCCTGGCGACCCCTCGAGGGACGCCAGGGTGGACAGGGCCTCTGCCCTAGCAGGTTCTGAAAAGAGAGCGGTCGCCTCGCCGATGCCGCGGAGCTTCTCCTTGGAGGTGTGGAGGTCCTCAGGGGTCGCGACCTGCGCATGGCTCGTCGGGAATGGTCACCAGCGTCGTGTGCGACCTCTCTCCGGAGGCGTGCGACCGAAGGGAGAGCGGTGAGGCGAGGCTGAAGTCACAGCTGAAGCAACTGGATTTCAGTTGCTGACAGTTGTGGGCGATCCCGCGCGAACTGACGGCAGGTAAGCCGGCAGGTGGGGGGCGGGGGTGTGCCGGGTGGATCCCCAAGCGGGCGAGCCGGGCCCATGCATAGTTCGCGCGCGGGGGGCGCGCGAGCATGGGAAAGACGCACCTCCATCGTGCTTGCTACCGGCGCTTTTTTGGCCGTTGGCACCATCGTTGATGACTTGATTGCGCGGGAGTCGAATCCCAAATTCTCTCTGCTCGAGAGGGAATTTAATTGTTTTGGGGGATTCCGACCGACCTAGCACATTTTCGACGCTTTTGTCCCATATACTCGCACAACAACCCCTCTACTGAGCTGAGGGGCTCGCTAAACGCTCGCCGAGCTCCATGCTGTGCAACACCACCTCCTCACTAATCGTCAGGGGCGCGGAGAGCGCAGTGCACTACGGTGAGGCTGCGCAGCGGGGGCTCACCCCCTGCACCGCGCTCTCAGCGGCGCAGGGGAGGGCGGTCGGTGGCGGCGGCGGCGAGGCGCGAGGCGGTGGCGGCGGTGGTGCGGGCGGCGGGATGACAGGGGAGGCGGCGGGATTGACAGGGGAGGCGGCGGCCACGAGCGGAGCGGCGCGAGAAGGGGGGGGGGCGGCGGCGAGGCGCCGGTGAGCGAGGCGCCCGCGCCATCAGAGGGACGCGCCGCTGCGAGATGGAGGGCGGCGGTGACGGAGGCGAGGCGCGAGGCGGCGGCGGCGGCGGCGGCGGCGGCGGCGGCGGCGGCGGGTCTCGGTGAGCGGCGGCGGGAGGAGGAGCAGCGGCGGCGGGAGGAGGAGCAGCGGCGGCGCTCGCTCGCTGTTGACGGGAGCGCTTTTGAGCCTGGGAGCCCATGCCACTGCGACCGGCGTGCCCGGGAACGGAGATCGCGCGCGCGCCGCCACACACGACGCGCGCGCGATCTCCGCGGAGTCGGGTCCCCAGAGGGAAGCGGTCTTCTCGGCCGACGTCCAGCGGCGCGCAAGGAAGCAGGCGCAGCGGAGGCGGCCTAGCACCGGCTCGGCGCCGGGCGGTTGCGCTGCCCGCGAGCCGCGTCCTGAGCCTCGGCAGCGCGCTTCGCGGCGCGGCGCTTGCGCTGCTTCTGTGCCGAGAGCGGCATGATTCGCCAGCTGAAGCTCCAGACTCCTCGGGTCCGCGAGTTGCACGATTTGCGCAGGTTGAGGGGAAAATTGGCGTAAGCGGCTGAAAGCAGTCTTGGGTGGTCCCACCCCCCCTACTTCGTGGGGACCCCCCCGCCGGTCGGTGGTCTGCCCCCGAGGCGGACCGGACCCCCCCTCCGGTCGGTCGCTCTCTTGGCGGCGGGAGGTGTGACGACCGACCCCCCCCCTCGGTCGGTGTCCTTGCCGTGAGCCCCTCAATCAAACGCTCTCCCTCCTTCTCGCGAACCGCCGACGGGCGCTTCGAAATCGCCGGTTTTCACTAACAGTAACACTATGAAAACTAGTTACGCAGCCAAGCGCCAAGGAGACTTCTTCGCCGAGGCCCGAGCGAGCCCGACTCCACACACATATGTGGAGCATCCACGCAGTCGCAGGCCTGATCCTGCTTGTGCCGTCTTTGTACAAGCTCTGGCAGCGCTCCAGTTCTCCGCAGTACGCGCGCATCGTCCCTTCCAATGACTACGATGACTTGCCAGAGAGCTTGATCGACACATCGCCGCCGCCGTTGACGGGCTCATCGGCTTCCGAGTCGCTCAAGCGACAGCAAATGGCAATCGATCCGGGTGCTGGACGCCGCTTCATGAGCAGCTCGGTTGAAGAGATATAGATACTAATTTATTCACAGCTGCGGCGAGCATGTAACCTATGTGCGGTGTGACCCTCGAGCCAACCCGACCGACCGACCCCCCCCTCGGTCTGCGCTCCGACCGACCGGACCCCCCCTCCGGTCTGCGGTATTCCGCGGCCGCCGACCGGACCCCCCCTGCGGTCGGTCGGTCTGCGCTGGGCGCTCAAACCGCGAAGTCGGCCTGTTCACTACAAGATGACGCTCATATAAGAGGAGTAAGAGCACTTGAGCACTGGATAGGGTCGATTCCGCATGGTACGGGACCCCAGCTACATATCTAGATACACTGAAAAACTTGTTCGGGGGCGTGCCCTGCATCGGGACGGAATCCAGGGGAAAACGCTCCTGCAGCTGAGCTTCAAGAACATCACTGCAGCCAAACACTTCATTCATGACTGTCGACGTGCACGACTGACTGGCAGCAAGGCAACCGCGCCAGCACGCGCGTCCTCGTGCAAAAAATCGCTGAGCCAGCTGGCTGAGCCAGAACGTCGGCTCGCGAGGTGGGGTGGGTGCTAGTCTGGGACCCATACGTGGCAGTTCCCTTGCTCCAAGCGCTTGCGCTTCGGCGGTAGTGATCTAATCACCCGAATACCACGTTCGGATCGCTCCTCATCGCAAACCCTGTCAGCAGTTCACCCTCGGGTACGTACTTTTAGCTTACTGGGAGAAAAGAGAGAAGGGGTTGTGTTCTCTAGGCCCCTAAGGGCCCTACAGTAAGAAAGAGCTACATACACTGAAAAACTTGTTCGGGGGCGTGAGCGCCCTGCATCGGGACGGAATCCAGGGGAAAGCGCTCCTGCGCTGAGCTTCAAGAACATCACTGCAGCCAAACACTTCATGACTGTCGACGTGCACGACTGGCAGCAAGGCAACCGCGCCAGCACGCGCGTGATGCCCGTACGCAGCGTGCGTATCATGGAACCCAACATTGGCGTCGAAGTCGGCAACATTTGGATGTGCCTCGAGGGGCACGAGAACGAGATCCCTGACATCACTGAGCTCTCCTTCACCAGAAGATCGAAGCATACTTCGCGCAGCGCGGATACGACGCTGCAGCAGACTCGACGGCAAACCCGCGCAAGCGCCTGGCGCTCAAGGCGCCAGAGCAACGCCCGAGCCAGAGCGCCCGCGCGAACGTGCGTCCTTAATCAGTTGCACCGAGTTTTTAAAGACAAATCCAAGTAGACTGCTGGCTGGCACTGTCCTGCTCCGGGAAAAGGTCGCCATTCCGACACTTCGGAAAAAGGGGACAAGCGTAAAAAGGGACGAAAGCCGAGTCGAAGAGGACGCGGCGGCGGCGCAATGGCCACATCATCATCATCACCGCTCGCACTACCGCCCTCTCCCGCCGGCCCGCCGCCTCTGGCTACCCGCGACGGCTCCGCCCGCGACGGCGCCGCTATGCCGCTCGGCGGCGATCGACTGCAGAATGACACACCGCCAATGCTGCTCGGCCCGCCGGCCCTCTCCCTTCCCCGCGCTTTCGCAGGTCCATCCCACACGGGCCCCGCGGGGGAGGCGCCGGCGGTGGTGACAGAGGCGCAGGGCTGGCGGCTGCACCTCTCGAGTCGCAGCAGCACCGGCTACGGAGGCGTGCGCAAGCAGGAGCAGGCGTCGGGCTCGAGCGGCCGCCGACTTCCCTGGGCGTCGGGCCGCTTCGCGGCGTACCACACGGTGGACGGACGACGGGTCTACATCGGCTCTTCGACTCGGCGGTGGAGGCGGCGGTGGCACGCGCGGGCGGAGGTTTCGGTGGACGGACAGGTCGCCGCCCGCCGGGCGCGAGGTGCGCTAGACTGGGAGACCACCTCACTATGGAGCCTGGACCCGGTTCTCATGATTGTACATGACTAGCGATGTGTTATAGTTCCTCTTGTGTAAGTAAGACGCGATACCCGCCCAAGGGGCGTCTACTTGGGTTTGTCCGCGACACATGCACACATCGCGGGAGATACATGCCCAAGTCTCGCGGCACGGGGAAACCCGCAAATCATCCCCGCCGGGGCGTAAATCGGTCCAGGGCAAACCTTGTTGGACGCCGTTGGCCGTATCCAGTGTTCACTGTCTACGTGTTGGCCCGGGAGCCCCCCTCCAGCCGGGGAGGGCCGGCCGGGCCCTCTCACACAAAAACACGGGCCCTCTCACCCTAAAAGAAAGGGAGGGGCGGGTCTAAAAGAGGGGGAGCTAACCAAAAGAGGGTGGTGAGCTAAATGAGGGGGTCCCGTGGGGTTGGGGTCTGTGTGACGGCAGGGCGTTAGAAAGCACATCCTCGGTTAATGGCGTTGCTCTGACTTGGAGTGTGGCACCATGTTCGAGAAATGCCAGCTCCCCCTCCGTGAGGCGCGCCACGCGCGAAGTGGAGCACGCTCCGTCAACAGCTTGCTGAAAGTGGCTGGCCGTGGTCGTGCCAATGAGCGCAAAGTCGTTCGACGGCTGCGAGAGAACGTAGCCGATAGCAAGCGTGGGCAGGGCGACGCCGTGGGATTGCGCAAGCTGAATCGCGCGCTCGCGCCGTGCGAAATTAGTCGGAGTACAGTAAGCGTATCGCAGCTGCACGTCTCGCCACTTGGCGGCGGCTGCTGGGTCGTCCTGCGCAGGAACGAGCGGCGCCTCGTCGATTGCATCGTGATGCCCCCACTTGCCCGCCATAAAGCCCTTCGCGAGACACTCCCATCCTAGCAAAGACACGCCGCCCGCCAAATGAGGCTGACGGCCAGCGGCGTGCAACCAAGTTGTGCGAGTTTCTGCCGTGATGAAGGTGGTCCCTGGCCAAACTGAGCCACGAGGCTCGGCGAGAGAGCTCTGGCACGAGTCACAGCAGGGCGGCGTGAGATGATTGTCCAACGCATACTTTCGCGCCGCAGCGATCCGCGCAATTGACCAGTTGGAGACGCCCCAAGTGCGGATGCGTCCACCATCGATGAGGCTGTTCATGCGCGTGACGATACTGCCGACTGCGATCTGCGGATCATCGCGATGAAGGAGATAGACGTCCAGGTAGGTAACGCCGAGCCGCGAGATCGACCCTTCAAGATCCGCCTCGAGTAGTTCATGCTCCGCAAGTGAAGCGCTCCACAGCTTGTCCTGCCCGTGGCAGCCGCCTTTGGAAATGAGCACGACCAGCTCTCGTTTGATGCCGCGGCTGCGCAGCCAATCACCAAGCCGTCGTTCGCACTGACCGCCACCGTAAATTGCTGCACAGTCAAAGGCGTTGCAGCCCGACATCCACACGGCATCGAGCAGGGCCATTGCTTCGGATTCAGGCAAGCTGCCCAAGAAGAGAGTTCCGTATATCAGACGCGAGACGGGGATGTCGACACCAGCGATGCAACCGGTCAGCAGCCGGGGAGGTTTGTCATCTGGGCCTGCCATGTGTTGTGTATGCACGGCCGCCACAACGCCACAGCCGCCGGCCGGATCTATTCGATACGCGCGCTTCGATGCGGGCGGGAGCGGGCAGGCGGGCGGACGGTTTATCAGCGATGAGTGAGTTCAAGAATTACCATTCCTCCATACGTCGTCGCAGAACGGGGCAGAAGAGAGCGACGCGACAGAGGAAGAAGTGACAAGGGAGAGAACGACGAGAGTGGGACGACCGCGAGGTGGCATGAAGGTTGCAGCGAGAAGCGGCGAGAGACTGCGAAGAGAGATAGGAAGAGGCAGACTCCCTAGGGGTGGGCGACCCGGCCAGCGGAGGGAGCAATTGCCCGCTCGGTCACCACCCCCGCCGGCGCGACGCGATCCGATCGACGCCGCCGCCGACGGGGCCGCCGGCACGGAGTATATTCCGTCTTCGCCAAAATTGTAATTGTACAATTTCCCCTGGAACTCTGCCCCCCCCCCCGCTTGCTGCAGCTCATCGGCTCGCAGACTATAGTCGAGCGCGTCGGAGAGGTGTCTGCCGTGGGTTCGTTGCTTTCACCCCAGTCCTCAGGTGCATCTGAGGGCTCCAGCTCCGCGTAGAGAGCCGTCTGGAAAGACACCATGCACACGCTCAAGGGCCTACCCGTGGACGAATCAACGCCGCACAAGGGATCTGCGGCTGCCGAGCCAGCTGACGACCAGAGCCTTCTACCTTCCTGGTTCAGAGACTTCATGTTCCCACGGCCCGACGCTGCCGAAACTACGGCGCAGGCGCGGGAGCGTGAGTGGACACAGGCCCGGTTCTGGGGCTTCTCCTCGTTCCTCTTCCCTGCTGTCATCATGATCGTGTTGTCCACACGCAATGACGTGGTGGAGGTTGTCTACGAAGAAGAATCATGTGACTGGGCGAACCTGATAGAGAAAACCATGTTCTACATCGGAGCTTGGATCCTCAAGGACATTGTACTCAACTGCTTCAAGTGGTGGTGGTGCACACGATACTGGGGGCTCTCCCAGGAACATTTTGACCTGCTGATCGGACCGAGGCACGAGTGGACCGATAAGGAAGTGGACACCCTGGTCCAAGCGTATGGGAAGTGGAACCTCAAGGCGATGGATGCCATCAACCGGCGAGCGGGCCACGTGGTGATCAACATCATCCGTATTTGGTTCTTCACGAGGGTACTCACAAACTACTCGATTCGCCTGCACTCGGCACTGCTGCAATTGCCCATTATCAACGGGATCAAAATCCTGACGGAGTCTGGGGATCGCTGCTGGGACGTTGGAAAATACATCTTCCAGGGTGCTCGGCTGTTCGATGGTCGCTACGGCCGGTTCAACCTTGTGGTGGTCAACTTCTGGGCGTATGCGGGGCGAGTGGTGATGTTTGAACTGCTGGTTGGGGCGAAAGGCATGGGCGATGAGAAGGAGGGCCTGCTCTTCATGCTGGCCATGCAGCCCCTCCTGTGGGGGGACTCGGCGGGGGAGCTGATCGGTTCCTTCTGGGGAAAACACAGGTTCAAGGTCATTGGCCTGGGCGATGTCAACCAGAAAAGCGTCGAGGGCACGGTAGCGGTGTTCGTGGCCTCCTTCCTGGGCATGTTGGGGGTCTTCTATGGCATGTACGGCGAAGCGGTGAGTTCAGTGTTCGTATGTCATCCAGTGCTCGTCATGGCCTACACCTGTGTGGTCGCCACCATCGCAGAGGTGGCTGCACCACGCGGGACAGACAATTTCTTCCTCCAGGTGCTCTCGCTGCTCGTGCTCATTGCGAGCATCCAGAATTCGCCCTCCATTCGGTGACCTCCATGGCTGTCCGCCTATTTGTGGGTGGCGCTCTCGATATGGCTGCGTCAACCTCGACGTCGCTGTCGCCCTCCCCATCCGCGCCGTCGCCCGTGCCTCGGTTCGCGTCATCGGTAGCGTCTCCGTTGTTCCCTCGTGCCCCGCCGTCGCCCTCTTTTCTCGGGCCGTTCGCAATTTCGCCCCTCCTGCGTGTCGCCCCTCCGTCTCCCCACTCCTCTTCCTTCGTCGTCATCGTCGCTGTCGCGGAAGCCCTCCGGCCCCTCGATTTCCTCGCCTATCCCCTCCGCTGCGTCGTCCCAGTCTACGAAAAAAAACTCGGACCCACGTAGACAAGGAGCGCGCGCCAATGGCCGCCTCCGTGACACTCCCACCTCCTGGGCCGGTGCGGGAGTTTTAACCAGTTTCTCCCGGCCGGCCGCCTCCTGACACGCCCACTGACCGAGCCCATCGAAAAAATCCGGCGCGCCGCACTGCTCTGACCCCTGCTCGCCCCTGCTCGCCACTGTCGCCTCGGTTGCCGAGTCTGCCGCGCACCCGCGCGCCCGCGTCGCTGCGCGACTACGAACTGCACCAGCTGGGCTCGAACCAACGACCAAAACGTCCCCGACCCGAACGCTGCACCAACTAGGCCACGCCCCAGGCTCGATTTGCAATGCGCATGAAACTGGCCGCTCATAAACCACTACTCATTTGCCGAGGCCACGCGGCGCCCCCCCACAGCCAGCCTACCCTCCTATCGCGCCACTCGACGCCCCGCGGCCGCCTCTCGCCTACCGCGCTGCCCTCGCCGGCCGCCGCACCGCCCGCGCTCCAGCCTAACCAGCTTTCTGCTCCAGCCTAACCAGCTCTGTGCTCCACTGCTCCAGCCCAACCAGCCCTGTGCCCCAGCCTAACCAGCAGCCTAACCAGCTCTGTGCTCCAGCCCAACAGCTCTGTGCCCCAGCCTAACAAGCTCTCCAGCCTAACCAGTAACCAGATCTGTGCCCCTGCTAACCAGCTTTGCATCTCGCAACACACTCATGACAGGGACAGACCAGGCGCAGGAAAAGGGCGGGGCCCGAATCCAAGGGACCACCCCGTCGGGCGGAAGAGCTGAGAACTCAGGTCCAGTAGGAAGGCTGCTGGCTCCTGACTCATCCCCCAAATCCCCCACCCCTCTGGCCTGAAACCTTACCATTCCACCACCTCACACACACCCCTCCCCTAGGGCTAAGCAGTGCGCGAGCCCACCCGACTTCAGGCGAGACGTCGACCACTCGGGAATAGTTCTGTCAGTGGCTGCACTAGACGCCCATAGAGGCGCGCGGCGCGGGCGGATGACTAGAGGAGAAAAAGCGGGGAGATTCTAGCTCGCTGGGAGAGGTGCGCAACCTAAAGAAGGGAATAGAGGGGAGAAGTGTTAGTGTGAGGGGAGGGCGTACGCCGGCGTTTTTGCCTTTGAAAACTGAACAGTTTTTTTTCCGTTCCAGTCTACATCCCCAACCTCTGCGCACGTCGCGTTGGCTTGCCCTTCCTCTCTCCCCCTTTCCTCCCTGTCCCTCTCGCTGTCTGCAGTCTGGTGTTAATGGACCTTCCCACTTCCCTTCCTCTCCCTCGCGCCACCGTCACCGTCACTATCCTCGTCGCATCCTTAGTGTTACGTGTCATATACTGTTGCACGGAGCTCCCTTTTTCGTAACAGGAACATTTTTTTTTCATATACTGTTGCACATACACAACGCTGCACAGAGTCTCCGTTATCACCCGGGCCTGGACCGGCCTGACGCGGCGTTCCCGCTGTGGTGGGTGCGCCGCGCAGCGAGTCGACCTTGCTCGAGAGGAGCTCCACTCGCAGCGAGAGTGCCTCCTGCGCCTCCATCACATACCGCACGCCGTCGCCGGCCTCTCGCCGCGCGGATGCCAGCGCGGCCGCAGCCTCCTCGGCCTCGTTCGAGGCGAGGGTAGCCGCCTAGGGCGCCACAAGCCGGGGGAGGAGTGGACAGTGGAGCGGGTGGAGGGGTGGCACTCACCACGAGCGGGCGGCCACTTGACGCGCATTGAGCCGCTCCTCTAGTCTCGGCTAGTCACGGCCAGTCTCGGCTAGTCTCGGCTAGTTATGGCTACTCTCGCCTGGCGCGCAGCGAGCACCGCCTCGTCTGCGACCCGCTCGGCGCTCGCGGCTCTCTCCTCGGCGGCGCCACTGCCACCGAGACGGCCGCCGCCGCCGCCGCCGCCTGTGCCTGCTCTCGGAGGGAGGCTTCCTCCTGCAGCGCACTCCACAGTCGCCTGTGCTCCGCCGTCACCGCCGCCACCGCCGCCACCTGGCGTGAAGCCTGTAGCGCTCCCTCTGCAGCGGCATGCTGGCGCCGCCTCGCCTCCGCCTCCGCCTCGCTCGCCTCCGCCCTTGCTTCCGCCTGCCTCATCGCCACATTCTGCACAAGCTCCTCCTGATCCGCCGCGCGCTCACCGCCGCCAGCTGCGCCTGCAATGCAGTTGCCGCCTGCTCGGCCGCTGAGGACGGCGAGGAGGGCCTGATGCCGGCGGCGGATGCAGCCTGCAGGGCTTCGACCCGAGCCGTGAGCGCCGTCACTCTCGCCGAGTCGCTCGCGTCGTCGATGAGCGCACGGAGGATCGCTACCGCCTCGCGGCTCGCTGCGCGCTCGTCACGCCACTGGGCTCGCATCATCTGAATCTCGGCACGCATTGACTCGTGCGCCTCAACGAGGCCCGCAACGGACTGGGAAAACACCTGCGGCAACTCCGCCACTGCCGCCGCGAGCAATGAGAGTCGCCTTGCTGCGTTGTTACGCTTCGATACTGCGGAAGGGGTTGAGCCGGCGCACGCCGCCGTCATTCTCCGCACCCATCGGCCGCAGTGCCGTGCGCGATGTGTGCGGCAGTGCCTGGCCGCGGCAGTGAAGTGCCGACGTATCCGCAATCACAATCGTTTGCTCGGTGTTTGGCAGAGGCAGGATGGGCGTCGCCGGCGCGAGGCCGGTCGCCTTCAGCGCGGCGGCGGCCTGAGCGCCCGAGCTGGACTGGGCGTCGAAGCGCAGAGAAGGCTCCGTGATGACGTCAGCAGCGTTCGATCTCGTCCGCTCGTATAGCCATCTGAGCTTCGCGCTCGAGCAGCGGTGGGAGCCACGCACCACGTGCAGCGGTCCTTCGGACACGGTCATGTTCTTTGGGTAGACCCAGATCTTGACCACGCTGTGAAAGGTGTCCATGTGTAGGGCATACTGCGGGTCCGCCGGCACGTGCTGCACGGCCCGCGTTACAAAGTGGAGCGTGTGAGCAGGCAACGACGAGGCGGCAGCCATGCGCAACACCTCGTTGAGCTTCTCGTTGCCGGTGCCTCGCGAAGAGGTATACTGAGCGAAATCGAGCAAGAGCACGCCGTCGCGCTCCCATGTCGGCCGGAGCGCCTCGGCTTCGGCGCTGTGGTTGGCGGCGAGGTGGCGGCGCGCGTCGTCCATACGCTCAGCGAGCAGCACACGAAGCAGATGAAGGCCGGCCGCATTGAGCGAGTGCGGCACGAAGCGTTCCGCCGAGAGCACCGCCTCAATCAGAGTCACGCCCTGCTTCGTGGCGACCGGCTCAGTGGCCGCACGAGTCACACTCTCGAGCAGATCCGGCACACCGACCTGCGTGATGGCCTCTAGCATTGCACCGTCGTCGCCACTCACATGCTTTAGAACAAGCGCGCGCAGCCGTGCCACCTCTGGCGCAACGCTTGCGACGCTGGTGGCGGATGAGGAGGTGGAGCTCGGCTCGCCGCTCGCATCCAATGCGGCGGGCGTTGGGAAGGTAAGCAGCATGTGAAATCCGCCAAAGACGGCGTCGGGAACGCCAGGGACAAGGCAGCCTCCAGCATGCGCGCCCGTAAAGGGCACACGGCCAAGAATGTCATCTAGCAGACAAATACCCTCTCGGCCCGAGGTGGTGTTGAGCCACACAGTGTTGCCGTCCATTGGCATGACATCGAAGGAGTAGAAGCGCCATTGGGCCGTGCAGCCAGGGCGAGCGCTCAGAGCGTGGCCCACTGAGGCCCAGGAGGAGAGGGGAGCCAGGCGCAGCTGCGCATGAGCCGTCTGGACGAGGACATGGCCAGGCATGATCTCTGCCGGCACTGCCTTCGAACTATCTGGATTCGTCCAGCTGATGCACTGGTCCTGGCGCCCAGCGCCAGGAACCATCGTGGCCGTCTCCGTCTTCGCTGCCGCTGCAGAGTGGCTGACGGCGCCGTAAAATGAGCCGGTTGGCTGGATGGCGGTGGTCAGTTGGCTCTCTTGCTCGCTGAGCAGTCGTTGATCACCTGATGGGCACGGTATGGGCAGATCGAGAGTCTGGATCACGGGGCACTTTGCGGCGGAGTGGTACTCGAGCACGACTACCGTCCGTGCGAAGAGGCCCTCGGGCACCCCTCGATGGAGGCTGTTGGTGTCGAAGACAAAGCCAGAGCCACGCGGGCCTCCAAGGGAGGCGACGGTGTACTCTGAGCGCACAAACTCATCGAGCATGCGAGAGTGCTCATAGCTCTCGAAGGAATAGTGAAGCACCTCATGAGAGCCCGCCGCGACGAGCGTTGGGTGCCAGCCAGCCTCTGGCCGAGGGTCGACATCATGCAGACGGATGAAGAGCTTGAGACGATGGCCCGCGCGGTCGTTATGCCACAGGCCCGCAATGTTCTGCACGCCGCTCGCACTCGGCGCGAGGCGCACCGCTTTGTAGCCATCGAGCGCAGCATCTGGCCCGAGGTATGCGCGCACAGCTTCAATGATGGTGCTGTTGGTCAGCAACGGCGCGAGAGCCGGCAAGTGCACGCGTGTTGCAGCACTAGCTCCGTTCGACGCCACAGATGTGATTTCGGGGTCAGGCTGCGCAAACGCCTCATCGATGACCGTAGAGAGAGCGCTGATATTGAGGCCATAATCGTCTATCTCAGCCAGGCCGTCGCGTCGGAGGGCGTCGGCGATGGCGCGTGCAGAGGAGCCGTCCGGAAGAGCGGACACCCTGCGAGGGTCGCCAACGGCGGCGTCGATGTCCGACACAATCTGCACGCGTGGGCAGACATAGAGCTGGCGGATGAGGCCGAGCTCAGGCGAGGAGGTGTTGAGGGCAGCGAGGAGGGGGCGGCGGAGGATGCCGGCGTCATTCCATTGCAGCGCGCCCGAGCGCACCAGCGCCCGCAGCGAGTCCGCCCGGTCTGGTTGCCTGCGGACAAAGGCCTTGAGTGCCGCCCGGCGCTGTGAGTACTCGGCGACCAGCTCCGGCGCGTAAACGTATGCACGCTTGGCGATCTCGGGTCGGAAAGGGTCAGGCAGGCCCTCCAGCAACGCGTCGTCGTCATCATCGTCATCCACGGCGGTGGCGGCGGTGGCGGCGGTGTTGGCAGTAGCGTTGGAAGTGGTAGGTGCATCATCCTGAGCGCTTGGCGACCCCGTTTTGTAACGTTTGACGTCGCAATTGACGGGAGAGACGCGCGAGCGAGGGCCGAGCCGCCTGGCGCATTCGAGGCGGAGCGCGTGCTCTATCTGAACCGGAGCCGCACTGGCGGCGTAGAAGCTGGGCACAACTTCTCCAGCGCCAGTCAGAGCGCCGGAAAAAGTGACGGGCGCGGTGTAGACGGCACACGCGTCCCCAGTGCATGCAAGGCAGCGGATACCAAGCGCGTCTTGGCATTTGCCATCGGCCCCCAAACACTGCGTCAGCTTCGTCTCGTTGCCGCGGCACTGAAGCGATGTGAGCCACATAGGGCCGTCAGCGCTAGCGGGCATCCGCATCGTGCCGGTGGCCGACCCAAAGCCGAGCTGGCGGCATGCGACAGCCGCTACCGTCCGCGCCTCCTGCGGCTGTGTGCAAACGCTACCCCAAGCACCATGCAAGAAGACCTGCACTCTCCCTGCATCTGTCGAGCCGCCGTCGAAGCGTAGGGTGCCCTCCACGGGCGCAGCCGCCGAGCACTGGTTCTTGAAGGCGGAGGCGAGCATCTGCTAAAGAGCTGGACGTCAACTCATACGGCGGCCTCCTGGAGCGGCCTCCTGGATCCCGAACGCGGAACGCGGACGGACGTCCGGCTTCTCTCGTTTCTCGGTCGGGGTATTAGGTATAAGGTCATCAATCAATCAAGGTAAGGTAAACTTCTCCACACACACGAGGTGGTGGGGCAAGGGGGGGCGACCCTCGCGTCAAAAAGGTGAGCTAGCTCCTCGGGTTGGCCTCCCGTGACTCACGCTAATCGTCAGTCATTCTAACTGATTGTGCAGGGGACTCCGATATTGACGATTGGTCCGCACATTCTCGAAGGAAAAATTGAGCTAAATACACCATGGAGGGTGGTGCGCTGGCAGCCCGACTCCCTGTCATTCCTACCTTTGTCAGACAAGGCCGTGGGGGGCGGGGAGGAAGCAAAAGACGCGGTGGCAACGCTGCGAGTGTTACATGAGCTTGCTGGAGAGGCCCCGGAGGAGGCCGTCCCCGACGGAGCGGTGCCGGCCGCCCTCCCCCGATTCCTGCGACTAGTGGGAATGGCGGAGGCGGAGATGGCGGGTGCGCTGCTCGAAATGGAGGGAGGCGCCCTGAGGATGGTGGCTCGGGTGGCCAAGCAGCGGGCGATACAAGTGACGCGCCACTGGCAGGCGGTGGGGATCCCTCTCGAGTCGCTCGGGACGGAGCGCTTCCCCACGCTAGCCGCCTCGCGGTTCGCACGCCCGCTTGCGGGTTCGAGTGGCCCGGCCATCCCGCTTGCGGGATGGCTTAGCGGGTTCGAGCCATCACACATTGGCTGCCAGGGTGTGCCGAGGGGGGGACTGGGTGGGCAGTAAGCCGTCTTTGCCTGGCGCTGCTTGCAGCGCTCTGGGTGGTAGTGGCGGCGCTCCAAGAGTGGTGCTCTTGCGGGAAGAGGTTCCTTCTTTCCGCTCCCCCCCCGCAAGGCGCGAGACACACAATTCTATTGGCCGCGGGGAGGGGGGAGGGGAAAGGCTTCGGGAGGGTGTGGGGTTGGGACATGGAAAGGGGGCCCACGTTAACTCCGACCTCCACAGAAGAATAGATGGAGAGAGCACAATACCCGAGGGGGAGATTGAAAGAAGGATGGGGTCAATGAGTATCAGCCGTACCAGGCGGAATCGACCCTATCTCGTGCTCAAGTGCTCAAGTATCAGCCCCTCCCCGAACCCACCCAAGCCTCCATCCCCGACGCGCCCTCTAGTGCGAACTCGTCCTTGACTCTCCCACCGTCGCGCGGAGAGACGGGGCCCACACTGCTGGTGGACAATGAAACCCCGACGCCTGAGCTGGCGCACCCGCTGGCTCCTGCCCTTACTCGCCCTGGCGGGCGCGTATTTACATAACATGGCCGATCTGTGTGCATTCTGGGCGACTACATATGCGTAGCAGTACTACTCACCTCCCCGACGTCAGCCGCCCGAGACTACTGTCTACTCGGGCGCGGCCGAGGCTGCGTTTCTTTTTTTTGCGATGCCACAGGTCCAGGGGGCGGGCGAGGCGGCGGCCGGCGGGACGCCGGTGGGGGCGGCGGTCGAGCGGGCGGGCGCGTGGGCCAGGCGAGACGGCGGGCGGCGGGCGGCGGGGCGGCGGGCGAGGCGGCTGGCGTCGTGGGCGCGCGTGGGGGAGGTGGCGCGGGCGGCGGGCGCATGCGCGGGGGAGGGAGGGCCCCGGAGCCGAGAGCGGCTCGCGGGTTTGTCCAGTGGGGGGGGCGGGGCGGGGCGGGGCGGAGTGGATCGGGTCGGGTCGGGGTGGGGCGGGGTTCCTCGGGTCGGGGTGGGGCGGGGTTGTGGGGTGGGGACTTCTGAGGAAGCCGTCGCCCGCCTCGGCACTTGGAGCACTTGGAGTGCAGTTATCAACCTCACATCCAGGGCCGGGGAGCTCAGAAGCGCACCCAGCGGGCCGGCCGGATGATCCGGATCGGGTTACGGGCTAGAGACAGCGTCGGCTTTTTCTTGCTTTCTAGTGCGCGCCAGTCCCGTGCCCAGTGTAAGAAAGAAAGAAAGAAAACAGACAACCCAAGGGAGGGATGGGAGGACGGCACGCCGCCAGTGTTGTGCGAGGGAGTTAGTTGTAAAATTCTTCTCTCCGTTCATTTCGATGAGTGCCATTCGCAGTCTGTCTCTCTGCCTGCTCACGGTCTGCGGTGCCTTCCACGTTTCTTTGACACCGTCCCGGACGCTGGCCGACAAATCGACGACTGTCGCTCGCCAGCGCTCTCGGGCGGCAACGCCGTGTCTGTCCGAGGACCCGCCAGAGGTGGCCTCTGCTTCTGCAGGCGACGCGGCTCCGCTTGCGGAGGCTGCGCAGCCCCCACAGGAGTCTGGAGAGGTCGAGCCGAGGCCGTTCTTGATCTTTGATACCGCGACGCCAGGCGGAGCGATGGGCGCATCGGTCGTCGTTTCGGTCGGCTTTTGCTTCGTGGTGGAGCTTATCAAGGCATTCGACCCTAACTCGGCCGCGCAGAGCATTTTCAAGTGACGAGCGTAAACGGTGTACTCTATACGGTGACGAGGTTTTGTTGCTCGAGGCTCACAGCAACAGAGATATCAACACTCTTTGTGAGACAAAACCGTGTCATCGCTGGAGATGTCAGTGTTGCCACGTGCGGTACCGAGCTACCGGGATGGTTGGGGATGGGAGTTATTGTAGCACGCGGCTCCAAAGTCTAATCTGTATTTCCACATGATCCATCTTCCATGAAAAGTCCTGTATATCTCAGCTGAACGCGGCGTGCGGGGTGCGCAGCGCCTGCACAGGTGAGAGCGCGATGTACGTGTCCTATCTCCGGGCGTGGCCTGAGGTGTGGCCCAGCCGCGCCGGTCACAGCCGCAGGTGCTCTCCCGCCCGCACGTGGATGCGCCGCGTCTCGTGCTTGACGAGCCGGTAGCCTCGGATGGCGGCCGTCTCCTCGGCGACGGCCTGCTCCTCGTCGGTGTGCTCGACAAACTCCCACCCCCGGTTGGCCACGCGCAGGTCGAGCACGCGCAGCGAGCCCCCCTCCTCGACGGTCACCTCCAGCGCGCCGTCGAGCTCGAGCGCTTCGATGACGACGTCGCGCCCCGAGACGACGAGCGCGGACCGCGCGCTGACCCGCACCCGCTGCGGCGACGGCAGCTTGGGCTCGAGCAGGCTGAAGCACGGCGCGAAGCTCGCGTCGAGGACGACGGCGGGGCCGCGCTCCACCGCGACGCCGCGGTAGGAGGCCGGCTGCGGCGGGCCGACCTCGGCGCCGAGCAGCCGCAGCTGCGTGGCGTGCATGTGGTAGACCGCCATCTCCGAGGTGGAGGCGCAGCCGGGCGGGATGCCCTGCGCCGAGAGCCTCGCGGCGGAGAGGATGTCGTTCTTGCACGGGTGGTACCCAAACTCGAGCGGGTAGCGCGTCCACGCCACCGTCTGCTCCGGTGGGACCGTCTTGACGTAGTCCTGCATCATGCACTCGAGCCGCGTCGGCGACTTGAAGGCGGAGCGGCTCACGTCGCTGAACTTGGGGTTGATGAACTCGTCGATCCGGCCGCCCGTGGCGGCGAGCGTGGCCGCGTACTGGACGAGGTCGAACATCAGCCCGTTGATGCTGCCCGGGTACGGCGAGAAGCCGCTGCTCGCGTCGTTGACGTCGCCGGCCGCGTGTCCGCTCGCGAGGAGCAGAGGCTCGAGCTGGTTGTACTCGACGTTGCAGACCACGCTCCGCCCGTCGGCGTGCGTTAGCTTGCACACGGCGCCGATCGCCTCCTTCGCCTTGCGCGGCACCGACACCATGTTGACCGCAGCGCCGCGCGCGGCGGTGACGCCGAGCGTCGCGAGGTGGTGGGCAAAGTAGAGCGTGTTTGTGTCCTGGAAAAAGTAGAGCCACCTCCTGCCCTCGGCCGCCCAGCGCTGCGCCGTGCCGGTGGAGTGGAGGAGGAAGTGGATGTCGCCGTGGCCGTGCGGCTTGGTGGCGACCTCGTACTCTCCCTTGAGCGCGAGCCGCGCCTCGCTGTCGGCCAGCGCGGCGACCTTCTCCTGCTTGAGCAGCGTCACCTGACCCACCCACAAACCCATTCGAGCCACAACCCCGAGCCCTCCGACAACCCCGAACCACCCACCACACCTGCGAGGGCTCGAGCCCAAAGTAGCCGTTCTCGTCGAGCAGCCGCTGGATGCCCGCCACCGTGTCGTCCGACACCATCACGGCCAGCGGCAGCCGGCACGGCCCTCCGCCCGCGCGCTCGACGTGCCTCTGCAGGGCGAGGATATACGACGCGTAGACGCGCAGCACGCAGCTGCCGGTGCTCACCTCGGACGGAAGGGCAAACTTGACGCCGCTGAAGCCGAGCCGCTCGCCCAGCCCGCCCGCCGGCACGGCGAAGGCCAAATGCGCCGCCTCGGCAAGGCCTCGCTCCTCAAACGCCGCAAACTCTGGCGAGCCCGGCTGCAGGTCGACGCCGTCGTCGGGGACCGACGGAGTCCAGCCTTCCAGCGCGTTCTCGCCACGCACGGCTTGGCCGAGGAGCGCTCTGGCGGAGCCGATGTAAGCCGCCAAACCGCCGGGGTAGTTGGCCTCCAGCGTCGCGAGCTGTGCAAGCAGCTGCGTCTTGTCCGCGTCCCGCTGGCCCGCTGGCGGCCACGCCTCGAAGAGGTGAGCTTGTCCGAGCTCGAAGGAGAGCCGGACGGCGAGGCGGCGGTGCTCGTCCGAGCAGTCGGCTGGCAGCAAGGCGTCGACCATGCACCTCCGAAGGAGCGGTGACGGCCGAAGGGTGGGGAAGGGATTCCTCTTGTAGAACACACCGGCACGGGGGGCCTCCTACATGTACTGGTTGCGCTCTCCTAGTTCTCCTTCTCTTTCTCCTGCTCCAGACAAAAGTGACACATGCGGCAAAAACAAAAAAGAGACGCGAAACTTCCTCCAGCTTCTCACTGGCAGTCTCTCACTACCACGGGCACAATTGACAGAGAGGCGGCCGAGGCTCACGCATAAATAAATAAACGACGTACACGAACACAGAGGGACAGTGCGCACCCCGCCCTCACGCGGGGATTAAATTGTTTTCTTGTGTGTCCGGAAGCCGAAAGCACCGCTGTCGCAGTCGCCGAGTCGCTGGGCATCGCATCGGCCGACCCCTCTGCCCGAATGGCGCCGACGGCTGCGGCACTCTCGCTCGACGCGGCGGTCGGCTACTCTCTCGCCGCGAGCCTCGCGTACTCGCCGCCCGCCGAGCTGCGGCGAGGCAGCGGCGGCTACCAGCAGCGCCTCGCACCCCGCCTCGCCTTCTCGCAGCAGGTAGAGGTCGACCGTCTGCGCGCCAGCGCGACACTCTTTGAGATGGAGGAGCAGGACGGCGTCTGCGTCGCCTTTCGCGGCTCCACCGACCTGAAAAACTACCTGTCCATGTTCAACCTCTTCTTCGAGCCGAGCCGACTGGGCACCGCAAAAGGCGGGCGCGTGCACCGCGGCTACCAGGAGGCGTCGCTCGAGCTCTACGACCGCCTCTCGCCGCTCCTCGCCAGTCGGCAGCCGCAGCGCCTGGCCTTCATCGGCCATTCGTACGGCGGAGGCACCGCCACCCTGTGCGCCCTCGCGCACGCCGAGGCTGGCGGCGAGGCTGGCGGCGAGGCTAGCTCCGTCGACGAGGTGGTCACCTTTGCGGGCCCTCGGGTCGGAGACACACAGTTCGCCATGCGCTACGACGAGCTGCTCGGAGAGCGGACCACCCACTACGTGCCCGATCCCGCCCCACACCGTTCACTCGACGCTCGTCGCCCGTGCTCCCCGGCCCTGTCAGCTGCACCCCCACCCAGACCGCCCCCATCAGGTGCACGACCTCGACCCCGTCCTCGCGCAGAACCAGCCGCTCTGGTGCGGCTCGTCCGGCCGGGGCAGGCGGCATGTCGGAGGCCTCTCACATGCGCGCGGCGCGCACCCTAGGAACGCGCTCGGCTTCGTGCACACGGGCCGCCGCGTCCGCTGCGCCGCCGCCGAGCCACGGCAGCCCCGCCACCCAGCCACACTCGAGGCGGGCTCCGAGGCATTGACGCGACCTCTGCGTGGGCGTAGGCTGCTCGCCGACGGCGACCCATCGCTCGGCGCGCCGCTGAACTTTGCCGACCACGGCCGCTACCTCGGCACTGTTCTCGGGCCCAGCCCGGCCGGCTGGGGTCAGGGGTAGACTGAGGAAGTCCACTGAGGTACACCGCGTGCGTCGAGACACAGAGAGGCGATCCGAGCACGCGCAGCCCCGAGCGACGAGTCATCAGTCGTGCGACGTGTTGCGGTTTCACTATTCACAGAGTAAACGAGTGGGGGGGCGACGCGGCGCGCGAGGGAAAAATCGATAAACTTTTCAAATAGCCATAACGGAACACCACACGTGCGCTGTAATATGAGCGTAGTGTGCAACCACTTTGTGTCAATAGCAAAGCTCCCCGCCTCACCCGCCGCCGGCGCGCGGGCCTCGCGCCTGCTAGATCTGGCTCTCAGCCCGGCGCGGCTGAGCGACAGGGGGGAGGGTGAGGCGCGAGCTCAGCTCGCAGCCGGGGCGCACCTCCTGCGGCCGCCCCGCGCGCCGCGAGGCGAACAGGACGTCGATCCCCGCGCTGGCGCTGCCGTTGACGGCCGCCGCCGCCGCCGCCATCGACCCATCGACAACCAGCCCGCGAGCGAAGGCTGCGATGGCGGTGGCCAGGAAGTGGCGGTAACCGCGCCGCTCGCGGCGGTCCTTGTTGCCCGGGCAGACGAAGGAGGCGGCGGCGCCGGCCTCGCCGTCGTTGACGAGGTCCATGTGGCCAAAGGCGGTGGCGTTGGCCTGCCAGATCGGCCCGCCCCACGCGTCGAAGAAGCGGCCGTTGGAGAGGCGGCGCGGCGCGCAGGCGGGCTCCAGCGGCTGCACCGGCCGCGGGTCGAGCCTAGGAGCGGCCGCACCTCGGGCGTGAGGAGAGGGTGGGCGTGGAAGAGTGCTCGGCGCGGCGGCGGCGGCGCCCAGTCTCGAGGTGCAGCGCCGGCGTGGAGAAGCGGAGCGGGTTGGGCGGGGAGATGACAAACTCTTTGCGGAGGCCCCACGGGTCGGCGCCGTCCACCGGGTCGAGGAGCAGCACCCCGCCCACGGCGCCGCAGCCGGAAGAGAGGATCCGCCGGACGGCGACGTGACAGCCCGCCGAGTGGCCGCCGAGGATGAGAGCGCTCACGTTCGGCGGCGCCGGAGCACCCGCCTCGCTGAGCCTCGCGGCGAGGGAGCCGTTGACGACGAACTGGAGCACCGGGTCGAGGGAGCGGGCGACGGCCGGGTAGTCGGTCAGCATCGGGAAGGGAGGAGGGCGGGAGAGGCCGATCATGACGGCGCCACGCGAGGCCACGGCGGTGCTCAGGTCCGAGTAGGCCTCCGCAGGGATCTCGCCGCCGAACCCGGTGACGAGGAGGACGACTGGAAGGGCGGCAGCGAAGCGTCCCGCGGTCGGAAAGTGGACGCTGGCGTGCCACGGGTGGAGGCTGAAGGAGACGGGGCTGCTGGCTGATGCCGCGGCCAGCAGCAGCAAGCCGGCGGTTGTCATGGTTGTGCCCCCCCCCCCCCCCCCCCGTCCTGGACAGCGTGCTGGGGTACTTCTGTACCCGACACCCAGGCCTGATTGCGCGAAGAGGCCGCGTGCACTTTCTTTATTTCTTCTTCCATTATTTTAAGCATATGAACGGAGGTAGAGAAGACGACCCAAGAGACCTCGGGGGGCGAGCGAAACTGCATACCCCCGGGCCACAGTGGCAGAGCGGGGGTAAAGGCCCATTTCGCCGCCCCGCGTCGCTGGCCTTCGCCCCTTCGGTACGCGTCCAGCCGTAGAGGTCCCGCAGCACATGCTCTGAGCGCATCGCGTCGCGAAATCGCGTCGCGGAGCATCGGCTCGCTCAAAGTCTCCCGCCGGCCGCCCCGCGAGCGGGACCAAATACACACGCCTGCTGCGCTTCCCAGCCGCCCACGAGAGCCCGGCGCAGCCGCACCGACCCCCACGGACCACCGCACGCGCGCAGGCGCGGCTCGCCGCCACTTTCTCGAGGCTGGCACCGCCGTCGAGCACCGCGCTGCCACCGACAGCGCACCCGCGCGGCCGAGGCGCCCCTCGCCGGCGCGTGCGGCAAGACGGCGAGCGTGTCGGCGCGCCTTCCGGCCGCCGCACGGCGGACGGGCCGCCCGTCGAGCCGCGCGGCGCCGAGCGAGCCCAGCGGACGCCCTCACCGCTCCGTCGGCGGGTCGTCAGTCACGACGGCCGGCCTCCTCCCATCCGCACGCCGCCGCCTGGCCGGCCGCGCGGCGAGGCGGCGCCGTGCGCCACGCGCGGATGGTGCCCCGAGCGTGCGCTCTCTTCGGAACCGTCTTTGTGCGTCGTATTGTCTCGAGCGTACATTGGTGTTGCCCAGCACGCGTCTCACGAGCTGGGTCTACAGACCTTCGCCAGTGTCGTTGAACACATCGGGTGGCGGGTGAACGCACGGGCGACCACCTCAAACCCACAGCGCCACAGCGCATGGTACCTTAAGCACCTGCGGGAAGGGTGCCCCGCCTCGCCGCTCCGGCCTCCATGGTCTGTGACGACCGCGTTTGACCGCCTAGTCCGCGCGAGGGTGGGGGCCTCTCTGGGGCCACACGCGCCGCGCGGGCTGCACGGGGTGAGGCCACAGACTCGGCTGATCGCGACGCGGCGCTGCGCGCGCGGCGAGTGGCAGCACACGCAAAGCGGTGCACCTGCGTGCTCTGGCGCGCAGGTGCCCAGGTGCGCTCGCTGGCGCCACGACCCCGCGATCTGCGCGCTCTTCCCAGAGCACACATGTCGTGTGTGCACGAGCGAGTGAGTGGCGTGTCTTTTGATGACTTTTTGCGCTCGCCATCGGTCCTTACCAGCGCGTTCACCCTCCACGTCTGTGTGCGCTGCAGAGCAGCTGAGGCTGTGTCACGAGGCTACCAGACGGAGACAGGGACACATAGAAGTTCATGCTGGCTCTTGATGTGCCGCTGCACTGTCGCCGCGCGAAGCTACAGCGCGTGGCGCACGGCGCCGCCTCGCCGCGCGGCCGGCCAGGCGCGGCGTGCGGATGGGAGGAGGCCGGCCGTCGTGACTGACGACCCGCCGACGGAGCGGTGAGGGCGTCCGCTGGGCTCGCTCGGCGCCGCGCGGCTCGACGGGCGGCCCGTCCGCCGTGCGGCGGCCGGAAGGCGCGCCGACACGCTCGCCGTCTCGCCGCACGCGCCGGCGAGGGGCGCCTCGGCCGCGCGGGTGCGCTGTCGGTGGCAGCGCGGTGCTCGACGGCGGTGCCAGCCTCGAGAAAGGTGCGCGAGCCGCGCCTGCGCGCGTGCGGCGGGCCGTGGGGGTCGGTGCGGCTGCGCCGGGGCAGCGAACGGCCTGCTGGAAAGGCCGTGAGAGGCGCTCACCACCGGGCGCTCGACGCCAAAGAAAGCGGCGGCCGCTGAGCCAGATCACGGTCGAGCGCGTCGAACGAACCTGTCCGGAGCGCAGCGGCCGTGACCGTGGCGGTCAGGAGGCATGCACACATACGCGGACCGTCGCGGTACGAGGCAGGCATCGGCGGCGCGACCCTCGACATGCGAAGATGTACTCTCGCCCCGCGAGGTCTCTTGGGTCGAAAAACCGCGCTTCGCGCCGGGCCGCGGAGTTCTCGGCATCATGCCCAAGCGGCGCATCGCCAAGAAGCGGCGCAAGAAGAAGCGCGCCGCGCCCACGCCCACGCCGCTCGCCTGCTCGGAGGGCCTCTCCCGCCTGTTTAGCGGCCGCGCCGGCCTGCAGATCACCCGCGGCCAGGCAGTCTCGAAGCTGTGGGCGACGGCCAAGGCGCGCGGCGTGCAGCGGGGAAAGACGATCCACTGCGACGCTGAGATGGCCGCCCTCTTTGGCGTCTCCACGCTCGGCTTCTCGGACGTCGCCGCCGCCCTCGCGCCGCACCTCTCTCGCGCGCCTCCGCCGCAGCCGCTCGTGACGGAGGAGGGCCGTCGCGCGGCCGCGGCGCGGCTCGCGGAGCGCGCCGCGCGCGCCGAGGCGGAGCGGACCGGCGGCAGCAGCAGGGACTACGGCCGCGAGCGAGGCGCGCAGCTGACGGCAGAGATGCTGGCAGAGAGGAGGCGGATCCGAGAAAGCCTGCTCGCCCGAAGCCCGGCCGCTCCAGCCGCACCTGCACCCTCCGCCTCCGCCTCCAACCCCTCTTCCACCAGCGGCGGTGTCGGCGGCGGCGGTGGTGGAGGAGGAGGAGCCGCGGAGGATGCAGAGCTGCGGCTGCGGCTGAGGGAGGCGAAGCGGGCGCTGCGTGCGCTGCGGGAGGCCGGCGTTGGGACGTCGCACGCCGACTACCACCGGAAATACGCCGTCTACGCCGCCCTCAAGGCTCAGCTCGAGGCGGGGGCGGGCGAAGTGGCGGCGGTGGGCAGCAGCGGAGGGGGCGGTGTTAGGGCGGCGGTGGAGGGCGAGGGCGGCGAGGAGGAGGGCGAGGAGCAGGCGGAGGAGGGCGAGGAGGGCGAGGGCGAGGGCGAGGAGGGCGAGGGCGAGGAGGGGGAAGGCGAGGAGGAGGAGGGCGAGGAGGAGGAGGAGGAGCAGCAGCAAGAGGAGGCGCGAGGCGAGGGGCGGGCGGCAGGCCACAGCGCGGCGCGAGGCGAGGGGCGGGCGGCAGGCCACAGCGCGGCGCTTCCCGAGGAGCTGCTCTGCCCGATCCTGCTCGCCCTGATGGTGGACCCCGTCTCCACCGCCGACGGGCAGTGCTACGAGCGGGCCGCCATTGAGCGATGGCTGAGGCCCACACGCCACACCCCACGCCGACCACTTGCTGTCACACATTCTGCTCTTCACACCCCGCCGCCGTGAGTAGGTGTCACTCCACATCGCCGCTGACTGGTGCGCAGCTGCCATCGCGGGCGTTGCTACCCAACATCCCGATGCGCAAGATGTGCGATGACTGGCGGAGGCGGCTCGCGGGGACGTCTTGAGAGGACATCTGTGTGTGCTTCTCGCAGTGAGATGAGAGATGTGTGTTGTGTCTGCTGTGTTGTGCACGTGGTGTGTGCATCACACAGAGCCTCGCAGTGCAGTGTGTGTGTCGTGTGTCGTGTGAGTCACTGAGCGTGTGAGAGACACACGATGCACATGCACATCGCCACATGTACTGACGTACTCTTTTTTTCGTTCGTATTTTTGAGACACACGTGGCACACGCGTGCCCGACTGACAGCTCGCGCATCACTGCGGGGCCATGCCCATGTGGCGCATGGGGCGGCGCCGCCCCCGTGCGCGCGTCGCTCTCGCGTTGCCGCCCCCCCCCAACACCCCCCCCCCCACACACACCCCACAGTCGCACACAGACATGGGCCCCGGTTGAACGCGGTGCTGCAGCGGCCCTCTACACGCACCCGTCACTGTGACCTGCCCATCCCTCTGTCTCTGCGCTCTGCCACGGCCGCAGTTGAACACTGCGCCTCCCTCGCGCGCACTCATGCCAGTCGTTGCGGGCGCGAGGCGCGGCGCTCGGCGGCGCACCGATGGCGGGAAAGGATGCACGGGGGCACACCCAAACAAACCCACGCCTCTGGGCCTGTCAACCCGAGCTCGCGTGCAGCTGGCAGCGGAGGGCTCCGCCGTATCCACAGCCGTCGCCAATCTCGGGCGCCGGCACCTCACTGACCTTCTCCTCGGTGCCGCCCGGACGGCGGCGAGAGGAGGGTCGCTCCTCGGGCGGCGACCGCCGCGGCCCGCTGCCGCCGCCGCCCTCGCCGCGCGTAGCGGCGGCGGAGGGGGGAAATGCGGGGGGCGGCTCCGATGGTGCTGCAGCCTGTGCGCCTTTCGCCGGCGCCGGAGCGGGCGCGGGCAAGCTGGGCCTCGCCGGCGCTCGATTCGACGAGGGCTTGGCCGGCGCTGCAGCCGGCGCGGGCCGCTTGACGGCCGCCGGACCAGTCGGCCGGCCCGAGCGGGCTCCGGCGGGCGGCTTGGAGGGCGGCTTGGAGGGCGCGGGCTGCTCGTGCTTGCGCCACGCGTCCGGGCCGGAGTTTGCGCGCGCGCCGCCTAGACGGCGCAAGTACAGGCAGAGGTGAGCCAACGGCAGAGGCCGGAGGGGAGGCGTGCCCCTCGCCTGGGCCACAGTAGACGTTGTACGTGCCTCCGGCGCGGCGAGCCCGCTTCTCCACGACCCAGCCGGGCGGGAGGCTCACGCTCACGCTCGCCTGTGTGCACGTGCCAATAGTGACACGTCGCGCTCGAGCCTGCCCTCGACGGCACAAGGATAGAGCCACCGCGCTGCCGCTGCTGCCGCACCGACTCTGGTAGAGCGCAATCGCCTGCTCCACCTCCTCCTGCTCGAGGTCCTCGCCGTCGCCGTCGTCGTGCTCGACGCGCCAGAGCGGCGGGTCCTTCTCCGCCTCGTCGGCGGGCACCCAGCTGGTGACGGTGCCGAAGGCGCAACGCCGCCCAAACTGTCCACGCGCTCAAAGGTGTGAGCCGCAAGGCGAAGGGACACACGCGGGTACGCTGAGGGGAGGGGGGGAGGGAGCTAGGGAGGGAGACCTGGCGAGCCAACCGCGTGCCAAGCCACTCGTGCCCGGTCGTCTCCCACGCGATGACGCCGCCGCCGCCGCCGCCCGGCAGCACATTCGCCTGCGCGCCTCCCCCGCCCTCCCTCTCCGCTGCCTTGAGAGCCTGCCCCGTCGCTCCCGCCTGCTCCACGGCGTACCTGCGCACGTCGTTGGTCGAGCGGAGCGCCGGACTGCCGCCGGGCGGGTAGAGGTAAAAGACCGTCTTGCCCCCGCTGAGCCGGCACGCGCCACGCCAGCCCGACGGCAGCGTCACTTCCTGCACGCAACCCTCCCGCCGCAGACGATCGAGCAGCGCGAGAGGCTCAGCCGCCTCGACGGGCTCGGCGACGCCCTTCGGCTTGGTGGCATCTCGGGTGGCATGCTCGGAGGCGACCATTGCCGCGACTGAAGGCACGGCCGGCGCACGTGCCCGGGAAACCTTGCTTTCGACGGCCGGGCCGCCGCCGCTCAGCGAGGCAGGCGCACGCCGCTTTCGTCGAGGTGGGGCGGCGCTGGCCGCGGGGAGCGGGCATGGGAGCGGGTCGGCGGCCGTGGAGCCGGCAGGCGTGGCGGAGGCGAAGTTGCCCTTCTGCTCTTTACCCCGGACGCGGCGCTGGGCAGGGGGCGCAGCAAGCACGGGTGTCGCCTCGACTGAAGGCGGCGCGGCGGAAGGCGCGGCGAGAGGCCCCGAAGGCGCGGCGGAAGGCGCGGCGAGAGGCCCCGGCGCTCCTCGGCTAGATCCTCGGCCCTGTGGCTCTGGCACGCTCTCGGACGGCAGCGCGGGTGGCGGCTGAGGTGAGCGCTCCCACGATCCTCCCGTGCCGGCGGCGACGGTGTGGCCTGTGGGGAGAGGGGCGACGGCGAGAAGTGCGAAAGGTGCGACAGGCATGTTGGGTCGGGGCGAGAGGGAGCGGGCCGGTCACGACCTGCGCTGGCGGGAAAAGTGAAGGACCGCCGTCCGCTCGGGCTCAGGAAGGAGGCCTTGCCGAACCGGAAGGCGTGCGCAACCGTCACCCTCACCAACGCCGGTGAGTCGCCGCTGGCGGGCGCAAGCGTCCGCGCAGAGTATTCTGGCGTCACCGACCCGCCGGCCGCCCCCAGGGCTCCGTCAAGCGTGTCGATCATGTCCGCCAGCGCGGCATGCTCGTCCACGGGCGGGTTTTCTGGCATGACGGGTTGTCTTCGAAGCCGTTGCGACCGTTGTGCTACAACACGCCGTTTCCGCGAGGAATTCACAGTCCGGTTCTCCAGGTGGATATCCTTTGGCCGCGTTGGGTAGCGAGGATTGGTGTGACGCGATCCACGCAGGCGTGTTTTCTGGCGGCCGACCGTCAGTGCACGGAGTTGCCCCTTCACAGCCTTGTTATTGAGAAGAAAATACGTCGTATCCTCGTATGGCGCTGTGCGCTGGTCTGTGAGAGGTTGAGGTGCGAGCCCTGGAGGCCCTGGGGATGACAGGCCACGTTATTGAGAAGAAAATTCCTCAAACGACGTGCCTCCCCGTGTTTGTAGCCTGTCGTTTGTGCCCCGTTTGAGAGAGTTGTTGTGTTTGTGTGTTGCCCGTTTGTGCCGCGTCCCGTGCCCCCGAGTTCATTTTAAATACAAGAAAATACCTCTTCGCTGTGCGCTGCGCGCTGGTCTATGAGAGGTTGAGGCGCGAGCCCTGGAGGCCCTGTGGGGATGGGGAGAGACTAACTACCCGCGGGTAGAAGGCCCGCGCGCAGGGGGGGCATTGAGACCGGTGTCATGAATGAGTGCGCGTTCACAGACCTTGTTATTGAGAATAAAATACCTGCTATGGCGCTGCGCGCTGGTCTATGAGAGGTTCACGACACTCGAGGAGGTGAGCTGTGAGCTGTGTGAGGGTGCCCGGTGCCGAACCCGTGTCGGACTTTTAAGACAGCATTAGAGGGAGGGCTTGTTGAATGATAAGAAACTGTAGAAGCTCAGATCTCAGACAGTGCCGGGTGAGGGTGTGAGAGGCGGTGTGTCTGACTGTCACTGTGCTGTCGTATCTTGTCGTGCGATTTCGGGCCCGGCCGTTGCTTTTGAGAGAGAGAGATTTTTAGCAATACCAACGTGCAACGACAACTCTAACTTGTTTTTTGTTTTGCTTTTGTGTGAGAGGCGGACCTAAGGCGAAGGTAAGGTAAGCTTGGAAAGGTAAAGTTCTCAACACACACAAGTTGTGGTGGGGCAAAAGGACAAGGGGGAACGACCCTCTCGTCTTCCCGGGCATTCACACTATATTCCTGAGATAATTGGGCGATTATATCCAGAAGGGATTTCATCCCTTTGGATTGGAGATTCGTGTGTCCGTTCCTTTTTGGGTAAAACGTATGTACCTTAAGGTATGTAGGAAGTGGAACCAGAAGATTTTTGGTGGGGGGGGGGGGGGGGGGAGGCTTCAAGTGTGGCAGCCAGGACTTCATGGTCGCGCTGCGCCGTGATCCTTCGCGATCGCCTGTGTTTGTGGATGTTATTGCACTCTTCGCTCCGATGCGGCCCCTGCCTGGCCTCTTGCTCCTATGTGGGAGCTATGGCGGGACCGCTATCGAGTACGTCTCCACCAGTAAAAGTGCAAGAACCGGTGCGCGTTGCCGTTGGTGAGCGGTGTGTGGTGTGTGCCCCCACCGCGATCCGCGTGTCGCCTCGCGGGAGCTGTATCTTTCTGCACGATCGCGAGGCCCCCCCCCCCGGGGGGGGCGACACACGAGTCACGACGGAGAACGGATTCGGGATTCCCCGACGACGACCCCGCCGTTGATATTTTTTCATTTTCATAATTTTATTACGCATGTGGTTGTGATGTGTGTGCAGTGCAACGCCTCCCTCACTCTCGACTCTCGCCACAGAGGCTACTCGTTTGCGTTGTCGTCTTGCCCTGGCTTCCACAGACCCCACTCCTGCTCCCCCTCCCCGCCCTCCGCCGCGCCCCCCTCTGGCGGCGGCGCGCCGTCGACGCCACCGTGCTCGCCGTCCCAGCGCAGCACCACCAGGTAAAAGTCGCGCAGCGCCGCCTCGATCTTCTCCGGCTCGGTGCCCAAGAAGGAGGGCGTCACCACCTGTCAGAGGGGGGAGAGAGCAGCAAGTGCATGCGAGTGGGGAGGCGCCGCCTCGCGTGGAGACGGGTCCCGCCTGCAGCCCGAGCGGCCCCGCGATCGCGCTGAGCTCAGCGAGCGTCGGCATCGTCGACAGCACCGTCATCGGGTTCTCCTGCCGCTCCCGCTCGACAAAGGCGGCGCCCGACACGTGTGCCACAACCAGCCTTGAGTGCGGCGAGCGGCGGAGCAGCCCCGCCGCCTGCTGCAGCGTCGCCACCGGGTCGGCGAAGAACTGCAGCGCGCCGTTGAAGACGACGACGTCGTGCCGCCCTCCCTCGGCTCCCGCGCCCGCCGCCACCTCCTCCGCCAGCACGTCGGCAAAGCTCCTGTCGTCAAAGGCGGCCGCGGCGAGCGCGCCGTCGCCGTGCGCCTGCCGAGCCACCTCGACCATCCGCGAGGAGAGGTCGACGCCACGGTACGCCGCCGCCGGAACGCCGCTCGCGACGGCAAAGGGGAGGAGGAGCCCCGTCCCGCAGCCGACGTCGAGGAAGCGGCTCGGAGGAGGGCCGCTGCCGTCGTTTGCGACGCGAGCGATGGCTCCGAGCCGGCGCTGCGCCTCGCCCGAAGGCGCCGCCTCGTGCGTGACCGGCAGGAAGGCCGCGATCGCATCCCATGTCACCTCGACGAGCGCGGCATGGGCGTCCGGCCGGCTGGGGTCCGTCTTCAGCGCCTCGTACAGCTCGGGCATCGAATCCTGCAGGTACGCAAGCGTGTAGCCGACGTACGACGTGCGTGCCTTCTCCACGTCGCCCTGGGCCTCCTCCAGCAGCGCCGCGGCGTCGGCGTCAAGCGCTGCCGCGCCGCCACCCGCGTACTGCATCCACGCTCCACCACGCCTCGGCGCCGTGCGAACGGGGAGACGAAGGACGAGCGCGAATGGTAGCGATAGGAGAAGCGCTGGCATGCACATGCTCGCCGAACGAAGGCTGCCGAGACCAGCTGGGGGGGGGGGGGGGGGGCGTTTATTTTTGCTTGGCCGGGTATCATGACGGGTAGGTAGGGTAGGTCTGGGCCCTCCCGTCGGGGTTTTCCCTCTCTTCAAGCTGGAATTTTCACAGCAGAAAAAGAAATTTTCCGCGGAAATCACGATGTCAACCCTCCCCAAATGGGTGATCTGATGCTTGTAGGGCTTGATTGAGAGTGGCCTCCCATGTCACAAGAAGGACTGTGGATGCAGGAGAGTACCACCAACCATCACTCTAGTTGGTATAGTACCCCACCTTCACCCATCCGATGATTTCTTTTTTAGTTTCCCATAAGTAGGGTAGGTAGGTAGGTAGGTAGGTAGGTGGTAGGGGCAGGGCAGGGGCCGGTCAGGTTTTTGCAGAATTTCATCATGATACCCGGCCAAGCAAAAATAAACGCCACCTGCCGAGACCCGAAAAAGCGCGTCCGGTGGGTGCAACCTTTTCCCTGGATGAAGGCTGGGTTCCGGCTCCTACCCAGATAGGGGGTCTGTTGCCTATGACTCGCACCAAAACGCCCTACCTACCTACCTATTGCGGGCGCCAATCGCCAGGCTCCGTGCCCCACCTACCTACCTATTCCCAGGCCGCGCAGCGAAGCAAAAAAATACCCGTTAGCCCTCTGTGAATAGGCTCCCAGCGCCCGCCGCGCGCCGGCTTGTACCGCGGTGCGCGCCGCTCGCGAGCCCGCCAGAGCATGGCCCACTGGGCTCTCGAGGCGTTGGATGGACGGCTCCAAAACGGCACTCTCTTCCCTCGACAGAGTCGAGGGCACGGACCCTCCCGCCTACAAGCCCACCACCACCACCTACCTACCTATTGCGGGGCCCTCTGGGGCGGTCAAAACCGGACCTACCTACCTATTGCATGGGGTCTAACCGTAGGCAACAGACCCCCTATCTGGGTGGGAGCCGGAACCCTGCGAAGAAGCGTGTTGCAAAGCCCTGGCAAAAAAGAATTGCCGGTACAATTCATGTGATGTTCATTATAGCTCCGAGTAGAGGGGGCGGTCTGCTGCTAGGGGAAACCCGGAGCGCGGAGCTAACCCTCGGAGACCCGTGTTTACTTTACGGCCCTTTCCCTGCGAACGCGCACCCCCCCTAGCTAGGGGTCAGGGCTCTCCAGCCCGTAGCCCGATCCCGATCATCCGGCCCGCTGGGTGCGCTTCTCAGCTCCCCGGCCCTGGATGTGAGGTTACTGACTGCACTCCAAGTGCTCCAAGTGCAAAATTCCGCGCTGGTGTCCAGTCCGAGCCTGGCTGTTCTTCACCTTCCTACCTAACCTCAAGGAACGCTGCAAAAATAATTTTAGATCATGCAAAAGAAATCGCGGTTTCCATACAATCCTCTATACAATCCTGCTCGTGCAGGTGGGAATCATGTCCTCCTCCCATCCCTCATTTGGGTTGTGGGGTTGCTTTCTTTTTTCTTTTGCCCTCGCCGGGTTGTTTTCTCGCACACTCTTATGCACGCGCTTTATTGCGGCCAACTTTACAGCGTGCCACCCTCCGCGCGCCTCACACACACGACCATCACGACCAAAAAAGTGTGCCAGACAAGGTGCGCTCTCGTTTGTTTATCCTCACACAGGACGCGCAGGGAGGGGGCGGGCAGCTCTCAGAGCCCAACCACCCCCCGCACAAGCCCTCCTCACAAGAAGCCGCGCTCCTTGTCGGACACGAGCTCCGCCAGCGCCATCCCCGCCGTCGGCGACGACGGCCCGTCCGGAACGAGCCCTCCAAAACCGACGACACTGCCGTCGCCGTTTTCGCTCTCGCTCTCGCTGCCGGCGCGCGTGAGTGTCTTGCGCGAGTCGTGCCGCCGCGCGCCCGGCTCGTGCCTAGGCCCCTCGCTGGCCGCCCCTCAGAACGCGCGCGGTGGGGCGGCGGGGGGCGGGCACGGGCCGCGCGCCTGAGGTGGTACGGGTCGAGCGCGCCGCCCGCCTCGCCGGCGGCGCGGATGGCGCTCTCGAGCAGCGGCGGGCCTGGCGGGGCGGGGCGAGGTCGGGCGGCGCGGCTGCCGGGAGGCGGGATCTCTCGGGCCGCGGACCGACGAGCTGGTTGAGCACGATGACCGACATCAGCGTCGCCTAGCCGCACGCGTCGGTCGTGAGGAGGCGCCGCCACGCAGCCCGCGCCGCCGTGCGGCGCGGCGGCCGCCTTGAGCGGCGGCCCCCAGCCCGCAAAGTCGGTCGCGATCTCGGAGGCGAGCCCGAGCGAGAGGCCCGCCTGCGTCACGTACGCCATCCAGCCGAACGAGCGAAGCCGGTGCGGCATCGCGCCCCAGCGGGCGCCCACCGCGTGGCCGAAGTAGAGGGCGGCGAGCCGGACGACAAAGAGGCCGACCTGCGGGCAGCCGCGGCACGCCTCACGCGGGCGTGTGACGCCGCCTCGCGCGGGCGACGAAGCGGGCGCACCGCCGCCGGCCAGGTGTGCTGCAGCACCGAGAGGCGCATGCCCAGCCCGGTGGTGGTGAAGAAGAAGAGGAGCGTCGGGTGCATCGACGAGTTGACGAGCGCCTGACCACGGCCGCGCGCGTGAATGGGAGCGCTGTCCGCAGGACGCACGCGCACGAGCCGACGGGCGCGCCTCGAGCTGCCGCCGCTCGTCCCTGCCCGTGAAGACCTCGCCGCCGTTGCAGACGACGAAGCCCGTGATGACGCACGCGAGCATCGGCTCGAGGCTGGGCGCAGTCACGCCGAGCGGAACGAGCAGCTGGTCCAGCAGGCCCTGCGGAGGGGCGGGGAGGGCAGCGCGTCGAGGGCGAGGGCGGGCTCGCGCCGTGTCGAGGCGCAGAGACGGTAGTAGTAGTAAGCGACTCTTTTGTGTCGAGGTCAGAGGCGCTGTCCGAGCTGCGCCCTCTGTAACGCCCTCTGCTCGAGCACCTGCGCAGAGAAGGCGGCGGCGCCCACGCCGAGCAAGCCCAGCTGCGGCAGAGGAGGCACCTGCGGCCGAGGGAGAAGGGGAGCCCCGCTACCCGCCAAGGAGGAGCGCGGAGGGGCGGTGGCTCGCGGGCGGCGGTGGCGCCTCCGGCACCCGCAGCGCGAGCAAGCAGAGCGCCGCGAGGAGCAACCCCAGCAGAGCCGACGCCGCCAGCTCCGCCGCCACCCGCGGCACAAAGATGGAGCACAAGTGGGCGGCGGCGGCGGCGGGGTGGCCTCCCGAGAGGGTGACGGGGTGGGAGGGGTCGGTCAGCGTGTGTGCGAGCTCGGTCGTGGCCGAGAAGAGCAGGATCACCTGCGGCGCAGGCAGCCGCGAGGGGTCGAGGTGGGCGCGACAACCACGTGGCGGCAAGGAGCAAGGTTGGCGACCAACACGTCCGAGACCATGGTCACACCGAGCACGGTCTGCGTGAAGGGGCCGCCAGCACGCGTCTCGCGGATCACGGCGAGCGCTGATGCGGGCGAGCGAGCCACCGCAATCACGCCAGAGAAGAGGGCCACCACGCCTGGGGCTTGGGTTAGGGTTTGGGTTAGGGTGAGGGTTAGGGTTTGGGTTAGGGTTTGGGTCAGAGGGTTGGGGCCACCACGCCTGGCCTCGCGGCGGGACAGTGTCGAGGATACCACCCCGCCCCTTCCCATTTACGGCGACCGCACCCTTGACATTCTCGTCGGCAGCGCCCGCCCCCAGCCCGCCCGCCCCCCTCTCGTCCTCGTCGTCGTCCTCCGCCTCCGCCGCCGATGCAGACGCACCGCTGCCACCGCCAGCCCCGCCGCCCCCGCCGCCTGCCCTACTCTCCCCCAACCGTTTGCCTTGCGCCGCCGCCTCGCCCGCCCGCTGCTCGGCCACCTGCGTCGGCGCGGGGCGGGCCGACGGCTTCTGCTTGTCCTGCCGCGTCGTCGACGCCTGCCTCCCTCTCGCCGACTCAACCGGGCTGGGCGTCGCCAGCGCGGGCGCCGCCTTTCCAGCTGGCGCCGCCTTTCCAGCTGGCGCCGCCTGTCCAGCTGGCGCCGCCTTTCCAGCTGGCGCCGCCTTTCCAGCTGGCGCCGCCTGTCCAGCTGGCGCCGCCTTTCCAGCTGGCGCCGCCGCCGCCTCCACCCTGCTCGCCGCACGCGGCGGCGGCGGAGGGCGAACCGCACCCGCGGCTGGCGCCCCGCCCAGCGCCGACTTCGCTTTTGCGGCGCCGGAGGCGGGGAGCGCGGTGCGGGGCGGTGCGGGGCAGACGCCGCAAGTGACCTCGCCTACAAACGTGTGCGAACGACCTTCACGGACGCAGAACTCCGGCACAAAGAGCCCCTTCGCGGCGGCGGCACAAGCAGCGCGGGCTTCGTTGCCGGCGGCGTCGCGCCTCGAGCACGCCTCGCGCACCGCCCTAGAAGGGAGGTTCGGGGAAAGTTCGGGGAAGGTTCAGGGAAGCGGAGTCCCTCGTCGGAAGCCTCGTGGTTTGAGGCGTGGGTCAGGCGAGGCGTGGTTTGAGGCGGGGGTGCGTGTGCTCTCTCCGATAGGCGGTGCGCGTGAACGGCGCCTCGACGAGCAGCGAGCCGCCTCAGGCACGCCGTTGCAGCTGCGACCCTTCGCCGCCGCGCCAGCGCGCCCTCGGGATCTGTCGGCCCCTCGGGATGATGGCGGCGGAGGCGCAGGACGGTGGCCCCCGCTGCCCTGCGGCTCCGGCGCGACGGCCGCCAGCCTCCTACTCCGCAGACTCGCGAGCTCTCGCGGCGCCTCTCTCCAGCCCCTCCCCAGCGCGCGCGCGGCGCGGGTCGCCGCTTCTTGAACTGCCCGCTGGTGGCCTACATTCGGACAGGGAGAGGGGCCTCTGAGGGGAAGGGGCGCCCGAAGAGAGGGATGGCTGCTGCTGCTGCTAGAAGCCACCTTTGCGCCCGTGCCGTGCAGCAGCTGCGGCGGCGGCGGCGGGGTGGTGTGGGCGCGCGCGGCTCGCAGCACGTCGAGCGACGACGAGCGCGGCCCGCCCTGCCCACCCGGCAGCCTTGGCCCCGCGCCGCCTCGGTCGCTGCCGCCGACCCAAACGCCGCCTGGCCCTCCGCCTCCACCGCCACCTCCCTCACCGCCATGTGGCCGGCCGATGCCAGCGTGCTGCTGCCGCTCTGACCTGCCGTAGCCGTCTCGGATGTCCTTCGTCCCTGCGGCCGAGGTGAAGGCGTCCGGGTATGCGGCCAGGAAGACGGCCATGGCACAGGCGACGGCGACGACGGTGGCGGCCGCCATGCTCGACGTGACGGCCGCGATGGCGCGCGACTGCGTCCTCAGGTTGGCGACGACCAGCTCGGAGCCGGCGGCGATGGTGATGATGCCCAGCGCCGCGTTGCTCGCCGGCTGAGAGAGAGCGCAGGCGCGAGGCGTCAGCGTCGCAAGCGGGTCGGTGCTGCAGGGAGTGGGTGGGAGGTGCGGGGCCGCAGTCTCTGGCTGGCTAGACGCCTGCAGCTGCGAGAGGAGCGGCCCGCCGAGCAGCGGCTGGAGGCCGATGCCGGCGAGCAGGCAGACGGTAATGAACGGCAGCCGCGTCGCGCGCGAGATCGCCGGGCCGGCGACGTGCAGGGCCGCAAGCGCGAGCCCGAGCCCGGCTAGGCGGAACAGGGCCAGAGGCGGCTCGTGCCCCATGCGGCGGCGCGAGTTTGGGCTGAGAGAAATACGAAGTCATGCGGTATCCGGGATCCAGGCAGACTGCGAAGAGAGATAGGAAGAGGCAGACTCCCTAGGGTGGGCGACGGCTAGCGCACCACACACCTCTCCTTAAAATCCCTGTGTGGTGGCGGCGTGCCGTCCTCCCATCCCTCCCTTGGGTTGTCTGTTTTCTTTCCAGGCGGGCCGCGCTGCCTGACCAGCGGAGAGAACGGGAGGGAGGACCAGGAAATCCGGATCGAGGGTGGGGGGGCCGAGCGGGGGAGAGATTTCTTCTTCCGAGCGGAGGGTGCCCTGAGTAGTTAGTGACGTCGAGTTAGAGTTGGTTGCGTCGCGTGTGCGTGTCTGGCTGGTGTTGCTGTTTGTTGCAACATGTTACCCGAGTAGAGACGCGCCCCGCCGCTACAGGGGAAACCCAAAGCGCAGACTAACCCTCGGAGACCCGTGTTTACTTTATGGCCCATTCCCCACGAACGCGCCCCCCCCAAGGGTCAGGGCTCTCTAGCCCACAGCCCGATGCCGATCGGCAGCCGGCGCGCTGGGTGTGCGCTTCGTCTTAACTCCCCGGCCCTGGGTGTGAGGTTGCCCCAACGGACTGCATAAGTGCTCCAAGGGTTTGGCGAGGCTCCGGGTGGCACTCTTCAGCTGTACGTCTTAGTCTGGGGTGTAGAGTGTGGTGCCTCATATCAACCACACACACAGAGCGCGGGGAAGGGTTTTGATTTTGAGACGGGGGGCCATGTCGGGTGTGTGTTTCCCGCGCGCGCGAGAACACGGACCCAGCCAACCCACACGGGGTGTCACACGCACCTCAATGCGTCAATGGGTATTGCTGAAAGTCGTCACACCTCACAGCCCACAGCTCACTCTCCCCCTCTCTCTCGCGGGGAGGTATCACCCTCCCACAGGACGCTAGTTGAGCTCGGCCCAGACCGTCACCCGTCCGCCCCGTCCGCCCCTTCCTTGCTTTTCTTCTTCGCCTTGTCCTTCTTCTTCTTCTTCTTGGCCTCCCCCTCTTCCCCGGCCGGGCCGCCTTCCTCCGCCGTGTCGCCGCCCCCGCCGTCCTCCGCCCGCTTTTTCGACTTCTTCTCTCGCGTGGCCTTGCCGCCCTCGCCCTCGCCCTCCGCCTCACCTCCGGCATCGGCCTGCAGTTCGCCCTCGGCCTTCTTCTTGCCCTTCTTCTTGGCGGCTCGCTCCCCCGGAACGCGCGGGCTCGCCCCTTCCTCTTCCCCCTCCGCCGACGGAGAGCCGTCCGCCTGCCCCCCCTCTCCCCCTCCAGCGGGCTGGACGCTTGTGCGCCGCTGCGCCTTTTTGCTGCTGCTGCCACCCTCCTCAGCCGATGCTGGTGGGCCGTTCGACTGTGCTGGTGTGCCGCTCGCCTCGCCTCGCCTCTCCTTCTTCTCTGCCTTTGCCGTCGCGTCCGCCGCCCTCGGCGCCTCCACCGGCCCCTCCACGGCGAGGATGACCATGTCGCTCAGGCTCTCCTCGTCGAGCGGCTCCGCCACCAGGTCCGCCGCCTCGTACGACCGGATGCTCCTCGACCCTTGCCGCGCCCCGCCCGATCGGTCGAGGCCCTCCCTTCTACTGCTTGCGCCCAGCCCGCCCCTCTCGCCGCCGCCGCCGCCGCCCGCCCGCCCGCTGCCAAAGTGGCTCACAAAGCGGGCGGCGTGCCCCCTCTTCATCTCGACGTCGGCGGCCACGTCGTAGAGCGACGCGTCGTCCAGGCTCGACAGGTGCCTCACATCGTCCCAGCCCTCCGCCACCATGGCTGCAGCGTACTGATTCAGCCCGGCCTCTTCCAACGCCGCGGCAAGCGCCGGGGGAATTGCGGTCGCTGCGCGGAGCGGCTTTGCTTGCGTCGAAGAGCCGCCACCCATGCAGCGTACGGTCTATGGGTGGAGGAGCGAGAAACACAGCCCTCTTTTCCGCCTTGACGCTAACCCGTAATCGTTGCGCCCTCGGCACGATGTGCCCGTCCACGCGGCCCCCGGGCGGCGGAACGTTACGTCTACGGAATTTCTTGCTTTTCAGCTTCTGGCTCTTACGAACATACCGGATCCCATACCCTCTTCCCAGCCCATGCTTCGCTCATGCTTACCTGTGAATCACGCCCGCTGTGAACGGAGTTGCTCTTTGAGACCAAGTGCGCTAAATAGAGCATGAAAATACCTTTCAGAGGTACCTTTCTGTCCTCCAGAGTCGAAGAACTCGACCGGTGGCTGGCCGCCAAAGTGGCTGGACGGCGCCGCGGCGCACACTGGTGGGCCGCGGAGCACACTGAGGGAGCTGTCCTCGGCGCAGCCGTTCGGCTCCCGCGGCCTGGGTGGTGGCAGTGGCACTCCCTGAGGCTCCCTGATTTTTTCTGGTATTTGTTGAGCACTCTCTGGTCACCTTCGCCGGGCGAGCCTGGCTCTCGCTGCGCAGCGGCGCGACCTTCGGTGAGGCTGCCGATCGTCGAACTGGGCTTAGGCCTTAGCTCTCAGTCAAGATATTGTGCATATGGTCGGTCTCTACAATATCTTGAGTGAGCACAACCGATGAATCGGCAGCAGGGAGACAGGAAGGCTCGCTGTGTGAGTCTGCCACGCAGAGTCGCGAAATCTGCAATGGAAGAGGATAAGATACCGAAGAGGCTACCTCCACGGGGCTGTTGGCGCAGGGGGAGGTGTCAATCACGCTCCCGGGACGCCGGAGAGATCGGGTTGGTCTCCCCCGCCTTCAGCCCTCTCCCGACGCGGACGCCACCACCCTCGCGCTGGACCCGGAGTCTTTTTTGGTTCCTAGGTCCGACCTGTGGGCTCTGCCCGCGCTCGGCACCGGCACCGCCTCGGTGTACAAAAGGAAAAAGAGACAGACGATGCTGCGCTTCCACCACCTCCGCCGCTTCACGACGCTGATGTCCGCCGCGACCGCAACCGCACGTGCCTACAGCAGCGTGCCCAGAGCCGCTGTCGCCGTCGCCGTGCGCCGTTCGGAGGAAGGGCCGGCGGAATACCTGCTCGTCCAGCGTGGCAAGCCGCCAGGCAAAGGGTCATGGAGCCTCCCCGGTGGGGGCGTCGAGCTTGGCGAGACTTCAGCCGACGCGGCGCGGCGAGAGCTCGAAGAGGAGTGCCGGCTCAGCGGAGGTGCGCTTGAGACACTTTGCAGAGACACTGCCTTGCCGCCGCTCAGACCCTCTTTGCAGACGGACGGCTCTACTTCTCGCAGGTGCCGTGCGATGGCACGCAGGGCCTTTCACCGCAACGGACGCCATCTATCGCGACGCCGACGGCGCTGTCCAGTTCCACTACCTGATCGCGCAGTTCTACGCCGAGGCTGTGGAGCCGGGGAGCGAGCCTCCGGCGCTTCGACTCCAGCGCCGGAAGGCCGAAAGGCGGCGACTTCTGAGGCGGCCGAGCTCTCCGCATAGGCCGCGGCGGACGATGCGATGGACGCGCGGTGGTGGAGCCTCGCCGAGGTTGCCGGCGGCGAGGGGAGCGGCGTGGTGGCGGGCAACGTGGAGGCGACGCTGCGGCGGGCCGAGGCGATGCGGGTGGCAGGCTTGCTCCGGTGCCAATGACCCGAGTGCCCTGCCACCGCAAGGTTTCTTTCGGAGGGTACGACTCTATGACTATATTTTAAATGACTACCGGGGCCGACCCTCGACCGCAACCCACCAAAAAGAGGTAAAAGCAAAAAAAAAAGCCAAAGATCCGCACGTTTTCATCCGGATTCCGGTGTTGGACTTGCACACACATGCTCTGCTCTAGCCACGCCATCCGTCATCACGAGACCTTCTCTGGCTGAGGCCACGTCTCCGGGTGCAGCTTCTCCATCTCGATGCAGACCGTTGTGCCGCGCTCGTCGGAGCCCATCGTCCAAGTGGACTCGTCGGCGCTGACCGGCGCGTACAGCGCGAGCTGCGCGATGGGGTCGCCGCCCGCCTTGCGGCCGACGACAAGCCTGGTGGCTGTGATGGCCACCTTGAGTTCCTTCTTGCTCACCCCCTCTGGCAGCCGCACGCTCACCTCGAGCTCCTCCGCCGTCTGCGACCAGCTCCAGCCCCTCGCCTCGCTCCTCTCCTCCTCGGTCGGCCCCACCTGCTTCGCCTTGGCCGCCTGCTCGTAGTCGTGCATGGCGGCCGCGTACGCCGCGTTCTCCGCGGGCGCACTCGCCATCCACGGGCTCGAGGACACCACCTCCGCCGCGTGGAAGTCCGCCTGCCGCAGGCCCGGCTCGACCAGCACCCTCCCGACGTAGGCGTCGCCGTGGAAGGGCTGCTCCGGCTCGAGGCCGCACGAGCGGGCCAGCTCGAAGGCGCGCCGGTTCACTGGCCGGTCCTTGAGCATCCCCATCTCGTCGATGTAGAGGTACACGCCCGCGTGAGGCACCGGCTGCGACGACTTGCTCGGCTTGGTGAGCGCGAAGAGCTCGACGGAGCCCTCCTCCTGGGCGATGCGGTTGAGTGTGTCGAGCTTGCTCTCCACGTCCCTTCCGTACGTCTGCCGCAGGTGATCAACCCGCTTGATGCTGCCACCCGCGAACGCCGCCTTGAGCTGCGCCTGCAGGCTGTCACCTGCCTTTGAGATCTCGCCGCGCAGCTCTTCATAATCGAGCGCTTCGTCGGCCGGGATCTTGACGTAGGTGAACTCGAAGGGCAGCATGTGGTCGCCACTGGGATTATGCCCACAGCCACTGGGATTGTGCCCAAAGCCACTGGGATTGTCGCTGTGTCCACCGCCGCCCTCGCTGCGCAGCAAAAAGAATTTCATTATACGGCCTTTTTGCGCCAGAGGAGCCTGTCGTGTCCTTTTTCAGGAGCAGGAGAGCCCCACCTGTCCCCCTGATCGTTCTTCCAAAATCCTGCTCGTGCAGGTGGGGACCCTGTCCTCGTCCCATCCCTCGTTTGGATTGTCTGTTTTCTTTCTTTCTTTCTTTCAGAGGAGGAAATGACAAGGGAGAGAACGACGAGAGTGGGACGACCGCGAGGTGGCATGAAGGCTGCAGCGAGAAGCGGCGAGAGACTGCGAAGAGAGATATCTAAAGAGGCAGACTCCCAAGGGTGGGCGACGGCTAGCGCATCACACACCTCTCCTTAAAATCCCTGTGTGGTGGCGGCGTGCCGTCCTCCCATCCCTCCCTTGGGTTGTCTGTTTTCTTTCTTTCTTTTTCCTTAAAATCCCTGTGTGGTGGCGGCGTGCCGTCCCTCCCATCCCTCCCTTGGCTTGTCCGTTTTCTTTCTTTCTTTCTTCAACTGGATCAAGAACAAGCAAGCGGCAAACAGCTTCTTACGCTCGGCCCCATGGCAGTGGGGGGTGCCCGCGCCGCCTAGCTCTGCGGACGGCCCCCCCCACCCTTCGTGTAATCATGTAGTCCCCACAATCGCTGACGTGGGATCGCTTGTCATGTGAGAGAGTGCGTTGTGTTCTTGTTTCGTATCCGCTTTCTCTTTCTTCCTAAAAGAAAGAAAGAAAACAGACACGCCAAACGAGGGATGGGACGAGGACAGGGTCCCCACCTGCTCTTTCTTCCTCTGCTTGTCTGCACAATTCCAGAGAGATTTTTCAGTGTATGTAGCTCTTACGTACATTCCCGGAGGAGGACTGCTGGACGGGGTTTGCGATGAGGAGCGATCCGAACGTGGTATTCGGGTGATCAGATCACTACCGTTTTTAGCAATTATCAAGATTGTGTTTGAGAGAGAGATTTTTAGCAATACCAAACAACTCTAACACTCACACGTCATTTGGGGCCTGGAGCCCTGTTCACGCGCGCGCGAGACGTGCAGACAGGGTTGCCAGGTGAGAGCGAATGGCGCGGTTCACGCCTCGCACAACAGAGAGAGAGATGCGCTCTGCATGGTGGGACATAAAAGAAAGCGAGTATTTGGGCGAGTAGGCCGTGCGGTCGACGCTGCCGCGCGGCTTTGCGCGCGAGGCGGCGCAGCTTGAGAACGGCGGTGGGCGAGAAGCCGCCGCCGAACGTCTCGTGGAGCAGCAGGTTGAAGTTGTTGCGCTTGACAAAGATCGCGTCGTGGTAGAAACCGCGATGCGCCCCTTGACGTAGCCGTGGCCGGTCTTGTGGGAGAAGGGTTGGCCGGGCTGCCCGCGCGCCTTGCAGCCCATGTTTAGGCGGCGGGCCTTCTCTTCGGTGTTGCCGAAGGCGTAGGAGTGGCCAACGGAGGCGGGCGTGCCGCCGCTCGAGGCGTTGCCAACGCCCGCCGAGGAGGTCTTTTGAGGAGGGGCGTCCAGAGCTTGACTCTTCATTCACCTCATCGCATCCTCCCGGGCCAGCGTGGGGTTCCGCGAGGTCGACCTTGTACCCCTCGTTGTACTGCCGGGTGAGCTCTGGTTTCTCCTTGTCACCGTGCACGACCGGCGCGTTGGCCGGGGCGCGCATCGCGTCCGCCCAGGCGGCGAGGACGCCGTCGTGGGGCCGCCGGTGGTGGGCCTTGTTGTAAAGGTAGTCGCCGAAGAAATCGACTGGCATGCCCCGCTCGTTTGTTTTGAGAGAGAGAGAGATTTTTAGCAATACCAAACAACTCTAACACTCACACGTAATTGTTGTTTGTTTTGTGTTTGTGTTTGTGGGAGAGAGATTTTTATTTCTCTCTCTTGTTTGTGTTGCAATTCCACGAACAAGAAACTTAAAAAAAGAAAAAAGGGCCACGCGAGCCGGCGCGACTGCCTACTCGAGTACGACTGTTAAAATCCCTGCGTGGTGGCGGCGTGCCGTCCTCCCAAAGAAAGAAAGAAAAAAGGAACACAGGCAAGCCAAGGGAGGGATGGGAGGACGGCACGCCGCCACCACACAGGGATTTTAAGGAGAGGGGTGTGGTGCGCTAGCCGTCCTCCCAAAGAAAGAAAAGAAAGAAAACAGACACGCCAAACGAGGGATGGGACGAGGACAGGGTCCCCACCTGCACGAGCAGGATTTTGGAAGAACGATCAGGGGGACAGGTGGGGCTCTCCTGCTCCTGACAAGGGACACGACAGGCTCGCAGCGCGGTGCGCGGTGGACTCCCACATCCACTGGCGGTCTCATCTCAGTCTAGCGACCTGCCTCCAGCTTGTCGCTGGCAGTCTCTCCTACCACAGGCACACTGACACAGGGGTGGCAGGGGCGGCGGCACGAGTCTCCCACATACTATGCGGGCCTCACTAGAGGTGCGGCCTGTGCGTGTCCTCGCCCTTGAGGGGGGAGGGGAAGGGGCTGTGTGTCTGTGCATGTGTGTGTGTGTGTGTGTGTGTGTGTGTGTGTGTGTGTGTGTGTGTGTGTGTGTGTGTGTGTGTGTGTGTGTGCGTGTGCGTGTGCGTGTGCGAGCCGCCCTGAACGCCACGAGCGCGCCGCGAGCGCCGTAGCGCCGGCGAGCGCCGTCGGCAGCGCGCGACCGCCACCCAAAAGCGGAGGTACATCAGGAGCCGCAGCCGGCCTGCTCTATCAGCCCCGCAGCCTCCAGGCGCCTTTTGGCCCCGGTTCGAATCGCGGTTGGCGCGCGCCCTCGCGGAGCGACGCGTGGCGCGCGACGCGCGCGCGTGCGCGTGCGCGCCCAGCCGAGCCCTAGGCCGTATGCCGTCTGCCGTCGGCCGTCGGCCGTCGGCCGTCGGCCGTCGGCCGTCGGCCGTCGGCCGTCGGCCGCCGCCGCCGCCGTAGCGGCGGCGAGCGCTCGCCTTTTGCGCGACGCGCAGTGTGGACGCGCGCCGCCCAGCGCCGGACGTGCCGGAGCCGGTCCGGCGCGCGCGCGGGCGGCCAGCGCCTGTAAACAGACAGCTGCCGCCCACACGTTCAAAGGTGTAGCCGTCCTCCCATCCCTCCCTTGAATTTCTGTTATTTCTTACCACCCAAGACAGCTTGGAGAGCTCCCGGTAACGCTACATTTCGTAACGATGGTCGCTAAACGACAGCTATTGGCCATCTGCCTCCTGCAGCCTCTGTTGGGGCGGAATGCGCGGGGTTTTCGGCGCGATGCCTCCGGCTAGTACACGGTACTGCTCTGCCGCAAACTCTCCTGCGCTCGCGTGACGTGTGGGGCGCACGCACTGCGCTCGAAAGTCGCGATTTGGCAATAGGCGCTCGAGCCGGCGCGCAGTGGAGGGGGCGCCGCGCAGGGGGACCGGGGGGGTGCGAGAGGGGGCGTGGGTCGGGCGCGCACCGGCCGGCTCCGGGAGCGGCCGTCACGTCGAAGAGGGGACCTGGTGCTGCTCGAATGACGACGCATGCCGCTCTGCTGCGCCGCCGATAGCCCCTCTTCCGAGCCGGCGCGTGGCGGCGAGCCGCGGCCAGTATCGCTGGTGCGGTGGAGGCGGCAGCTTGCATCGGCCGGCAGCGGGTGCGGCCATCACGTCGATGAGGGGGGGTTGTCGGCGACTCGTGTGGCTCGAGGCCTACGCTGCGCCGCCCAAGCCCTACTGCCGATCCAGCGCCTGGCGTTTGGGGCGAGCCGCGGTCGTCGTCGCTGATGGTATATGGCGGCGGCGGCGGCGGCTCGCCCTTCCCTCCGGCCGCAATTCCGATCCCGCCGCGCTCGCGGGAGGTGGCGCGCCCACCGCGGCACGGCCGTGGCTGCGCATACACCTTATGCCCTTTCTCCTCAACGGCTATCCGTGCTTGCTGTGCCCCTGCGTGGTGTGTTTCAAGTTCTTACAACCCAAGGTGATAGAGGGCAAAAAGATCGATTGCGCTCTTGCCGATCCGCACCTACCTAGGCTCTTGGGTGGCGCGCCCCAGCCAGCTCTTCACAACGAACCTGGTTTGCCTACAACTGTACGACTGTGCCGGCGCTTGACAGCTGCTGCAGCAGCTCGTAGAGCCTCCGCGGCTTCCTCCTCGGCCACCGCGATGCTCCTCCTCTTCGTCACGGCCTCACCGGCCCTGCGAGCTGTGCCGACCAGGGCCGTTCCCGCCGCCGCCGCCGTCGCGCGCGCCTCACGCCGCCGCGCGTGCCTCGTCTGTGCCGCGGCTCCCGGCGGCGAGAGGCAGCAGCGTCAGCGTCCAAAGGCCAAGCAGAGCCTCGGGCAGAACTTTCTGGTGGACGACGCCCTCGCCGAGCGGATGGCGGCGTCGCTCCGCCGCGGCGATGGCGACGGCGACGGGCGAAGGGTGGTCGAGCTCGGTCCGGGGCAGGGCGCGCTGACGGCGCTATTGCTGCAGTCTCACCCAGAGATGCTCGCCGTGGAGATTGATCAGCGGATGGTGGAGATCCTCCGCGCCGACCTGCCCGCGCTCGAGCTGCGACACGCCGACCTGTGAGTCGCGCCTCTGCGCCACCGTCCTCTCGCGAGCCCCGCCGCCAATCCCCGCCCGCCTTGCGCAGGCTCGGGCTCGACCTGGCGGCTCTCGCGGCGGAGAGGGGAGGGCCCCTCTCGGTGCTGACCAACACCCCCTTCTACCTGACGAGCCAGCTCCTCTTCAAGCTGCTCGGCTCGCTCGAGCAGATCGACGAGGTCGTCCTCTCCATGCAGGCCGAGGTCGCCGACAAGCTGCTCGCGCCGCCGCGTTGCAAGGACTACGGCATCCTCTCGGTGATGACGCAGCTCTTCGGACAGCCGGAGCGGCTCTTCGAGATCCCGCCCCACGCCTTCAGGCGAGCAGCGCACCGCACCCCCTCCCTCCCCGCACGCTCCCGCGACACCGCGAGCGCGGCGTCACCGAATAGGCCCGAGCCAAAGTGCAGCGCAGCGGTGCTGCGGCTGCGGCCAGTCGGGGCGCCGCCCGGCTCGGCGCTGCCCCTGTCGGCGGCGCAGCGCTCTCAGCTGCTCGGGCTGCTCAAGCTCGCCTTCGAGCAGAGGTTAGGGTTAGGGTTAGGGTTAGGGTTAGGGTTAGCGGGCTGCTCAAGCTCGCCTTCGAGCAGAGGCGCCGCACGAGAGACATCGCACGAGAGACATGCGGTCCCGCCCTCCCCTCCCCTCCGCCCGCCTGCGGCCCTTAGCCTTGAGAGAGAGGTGTCCCTCCCTTGGCCAGGCGAAAGATGCTCCGCGTCACCCTCAAGCCGCTGCTGGCCGCCGCCAAAGAGCCGCCGCCCGAGGAGATGCTGCGCCTGAGGCCGGAGCAACTCGAGCCGGCGCAGTTTGTGCAGCTGGCAGCGCAACGGCTTGCCCTCGCGATGGCCCCTGTGACAGCGCCTCTTCACGCTTGCTGCGGGGAACGCGTGTAGGCAGCGATGCTCTTTGGTGACGATGCCGAGGCGGACGCCGCCGCCGCCCTCGTCGCTGCGCACGTCTCCGAGAGCTGGACGCCGTGGAAGGCGGGCTGGAAGTGAGAGAGGGGCGGCGCCGTACTCGCAACCCGATCGTTTTCCCTCATTATAATACATGATCTTCCCACAGCCATAAAGGGTGTGGATGCTGGGTTGACGGAAATCGAGGGACGCGACCCACTTCGCCACAGACGGTCCCGCGCCTCGCCGCTATGACGGCCGCACAACCGCAGCTCGTGTGCGTGCGGCCGTCTTTGTCCGGAGTGAAAAGTCCAACGCGCTCGTCGGTGGCGGCTTCCCTCAACCTGCGCCGCGCTCGGCGAACCTCGACAGCGCTTTCGGTGGCATGCAGCTCTTTGCGACTGAAGTCTGGAGAGCAGCTCCTCTGCTGCTCACACACTCTGCACAGTTGACACAGCCTACTGTGCGGCTGCCACAGCTGTGACAGCGATGGGCTCGCCCTCACTGGCCCTCAGTCACTTGTGCTGCGGCTTGTGTGAGCGACACTGCTCGGCGACTGCCGGCACACTGTGAGACCATGGGTGTGAGGTAAAACCGCGCCACCAGCGCTTGGTCACATCGGCCCCGAGGTCAGATCCATCTACTCTGTTGATGACAAGACTTGTCTACCGGCTGGAGCCGAGCAGGAGGGCCCGGCTCACAACCCCTTGGTCAACTCACCCTCCACACAGTCACACCCCGTAACACACAAGAGACATATATCCGATTTTTAAATATATCCGGCCCTGTGGCGCGCGCGGCCGCCGTGCGGGCCTGCGCGCACGCGACAGGGATACGCACCGTGCGCACGGACGGAGCTCCCCTCTCATTGCGCTCGGCACGCGACAGACACGTTGGAGACGTATATCCGCAGCATCCGCTTACTCGTCGTCGTCGACAAACTCCTCGACGAGTCGCTCCTTGAGCAGCACTCGGATCTCCGTCACCTGCTCACAGTCGCGCGGTGAGGCGACACGGACTCGCTCTAGCACATCCGACGACCCCTCCTCCGCCTCGTCGCCCCACAACGTGTCTCGCAGCAGAGAGCACTCGACTCGCATCTGAACCTGCCGCCGCGGGGTGCCGACGCAGGGTCGGGAGAGTCGCGAAGAGGGGGTAGCCTCGGCTGCGTGGCGCCCGAGACGGGCGGGGGTGTCGCCGCCGCACTCGGCCACATACACCCCGCGTGTCTGCATGCTAGCGCCGCGAGCCATCTCGAGCGCGCCGCGCAGCACGCCGCAGAGCAGGCCGGAGTACTCGAGCTTGGAGCACTCCTCTGGCAGCTCGACGAACCTACTCGCGGCACGCCGGGCTGAGATGCGGCACCGCTCGGCGGCGGCGCCCCGGCTCCGCGGCACTCGGCGAGCGGGTTCTCGCTCAGCAGCAGCCGGAACTCGGACGAGGTTGCAGCCGCAACCTGCCGGGGACGGAGAGGGGGTGGGGCAGCGGCTCGGGGAAGGGAGCGAGCGGGCGGCCGCCGCCTCCACGTTGACGCCAAGGAACATCTTGAAGCCGACCTTGGCCACCACTTCGGCCGTCTCGGAAAAGGAGGCGCACTGCGCCAGCGACGCCTGGGGCGGGGAGGCGGCCGCAGCTCGGTCGGCGAGGCGACCATCACCAGCGAGCCTCTCGCTGGGCGGGCGGCCACCTTAGCGAGAAGCTCATCCACCATCCGCACGCCCATGTTGTATCCCATCTTTTCGAGCTGCACCTGCCACGTGGGCAGGGACGCGTTGTCGTGGCGTGTCTCACGCTCAGCGGGCGCGCGGCAGCGATGCTGGCACATTCGCTGCCGCCACGTCCTCATAGTCCTTGAGCAGCTGCGGAGCACCAGCGCGGTCGCGGGTCACGTGAGGGTGGATGAGCGGGCATGAGCGGCGCGCTGCCAGCGGGCGGGCAGGGGCGGGCCTGCGTGACCACCGCGCCATAGGTGAGAGAGAAGAGCTCGGCGGAGACCTTGTCAACCTTGGAGAAGGTGGCGTCGCCGAGGCGCCGCAGGGCAACCTTCTTGCGCTCCGCCTCCGACGCCATGTGTGTTATTTTCGTGCCTGCTACATGCGGGATGCCCCTCGTCGGTGAGCTTGCGGGAGGAGGTGCGAAGCGAGGGCATCAGTGGCGCAGCCGGCGTCCAGCGATCGGTGCTGGACGCGAGTGCACCGAGCGCCGGGCTTTGAGCGGGTGCACACTCTTGTCAGGCCCGCTCACACCGCGCTCGGAGGAGGCGGAGAGAAGCGTCGTGTGATCGCGGGGTGAGGCAGGGGCGGTTGTGGTGGAGCGCGGGCCTCGCAGCGGGCCCTGCTGGCGATACTCGAGTAGAGAGCTGGGTTCCAACTTTTGCCGGGTAAGGTACCGCACAGCAGGGTATGGAGGGTATGGCAGTTGCGACGGCGCTTTCACACACACACACACACACACAGAGTTGCTTGGGAATATACGAATATACGACAACATCAACCAGAGAGTCTTCTCTCGTGTATAGAGGACCCACACAGAGGTTTGCGCCGTGTCCCACTCCCAGCCCGCCCTCCACTTTTTTAACTTTTAGCCGCCAAAACGGAAGGACTCCCCGTCAAAACGCCTCTGCTTTACCAAGTACAATGCTCCCACACACACCTGTCACACTCTCACACAGACAAACCCAACCGTACGAAAAGTAGATCCTGGGCCGGACAGTCATATCTCGATCTCCCGCAGCACCGGCTTGCGGGTGTGCCGCATCGTCGAGCCGAGCTCGCTCGGCTTGAAGGGTGCCTAGACAGCAAATCGGGAGCGGTGAGGGGCGGTCATTGAATGTGCGGTGGCGCGAGCTTCCCCCGCGAGGCGCGCCAAGACGCCGTAAGGCTTTGGCAGTCCGATCGCGTCGTCCGGCACGTAGGCGTTCGGCCGAGGCACCGCGGTCGACGGCGCGCCGAAGGGCGGCGGCTCCTCCTGCTGCTGCGCGCTCCTCTTGAGCGCCTCCGCCCTCCTCCTCCGCATGTCAGCCTCGTGCCGCAGCCACTCGCGCTCCACCTCATCCGACGGCGGCAGCCCCGCCTGCACGTTGGCCTCCTGCTCCCGCAGCGCCGCCTCGCGCTGCTGGTTCTCGTGCGCCAGCTTCATCGCTGTCGCCTGGTACATCGACAGCTCCGAGACGGTCGCCATCATGCGGCGGGTCGTCCCCTTGATCTTGCCCTGGAACTCGTTCACGCGCTTTGACAGCTCGAGCGCCTCCTCGCGCCCCTCGTCGGCTCGCGCCTTGAGCTTGAGCGACAGGTTCGTCACCTCCTCGAGGACGAGCTCCTTCTCCAGAAGTTGCTCCTTCTTGTCGTTCAGCCGCTCCTCGAGCACGTGCAGCTTGGCGACGAGCTCCTCCGGCTCCGGATCCGTGCCCTCGAGCTTGCGCCAGCGGCCGCTGTTGTCCGGCGCCTCGAGGTCGGAGGATAGCCTCTGCGCCTCTTGTCGCGCCTCCTCGAGCTGCGCCTTGAGCAGCGCCACCTCCTCCTCGAGCTGTGGGATCCGTGGCAGCCTTCGGCGCGCCGCCTCCACGTTGCGGGCGAGCTCCGCCACCTGCAGCTCTGCGGCGCGAATCTCCTCCTCGCGCTTCCGGATCTCGGCCTCGCCCGCCTTGAGGGCCGACTGCTGCAGGTTGGACTTCTCGTATAAGATGCAGAGCTCGTCGTTGCGGTCGATGAGCTGTAGTCCGGTGTAGTTGCGCTCCTCGACGGCCACCTCATATTGCCGCTTCAGCTTGACCATCTCGCGCTCGATGCCGCTGACGACCGCGTTGAGGTTCTCCGCCTCTGCCGCGAGCTGCCCCACCTCCTTCTCCTTCTCTCGGACGCAGGTCTGCAGGCGGTTCGTCTCCGCCCGCAGCTGGTCGCGCGCGTTGAAGGAGCCGGTGTGCTCGATCCGCTCCTTGTGCAGCGCGCGGTCCTTCTGCGCCGACTCGGCGCGCAGGATCTCCACCTCGTTCTGCAGGATCTTCATCTTCTCCTTCATCTCGGCGAGCGCCTGCGCCGACGTCTGGATCTTGGTGACGTACTTGTTGCGCTCGATTTTGACCGCGTCATACAGCTTCGAAAAGTCCTTGAGCCGCGTCGCCGAGTCGACCACCCGCTTGGTCAGGTCCATGATGACCAGCTCCTTCACCTTGAGCTCCTCGTGCACATCCTTTGCCGACTGCATCACCTTGGCCGCCTCGCGCGCCGCAGCCTCGCGCTCAGCCGAGAGCCGCGCGAGCACCTTTCGGTTGTCGTGCTCCTCCTTGGTCACCTCGGCGAGGTCCGCCTCCAGCGCCTTGACGTCCTCCATCAGCTGCACCAGCCACTCCTTCTTCTCCTCCTCGGCCGTCTCCTGTTTGAGCAGGTTCGAGATGTGCACGTCGACGTCGCGCCGGATCTCCTCCGCGGCTTCGTCGTTCTTCGCCTTCGCGTCCCGCAGTGCGGCTACCTGCCGCACGACCTCGTCGAGCTGCCGCTGCAGGAAGGGGTGCTGCGACAACGAGTTGTTGAGTGCCAGCTCGACCTTTTTACACCGTCGGAGCGCCTGGTTGTACTCCCGCACCTTGCGGTTCAGCGCGTCCGCTTCCCGCCGCGCGTCGTGGCTCACGTCCTTGACCTCCATCGCAAGCCGGGTGCGCTCGGTCGCCGCGTGCACCGCTTCCTCCTTGAGGAGGTCTAGCTGCTTGAGCATCTCGTCGCGAGTGCGCTCCTTCTGCTCAATCATGGCGTGGTGCCGCTCCACCGCCATCTCCAGCCCCATCCTGCCCTCCTCGAGCTCCTTCCGCCGCTTCACTTGGTGCGCCAGCTCCCCATCGAGCCCACGCAGCGTGTCCAGCTGCTTGGCGCTCTCCGCCTCGAGCGCCGCCAGCGCACCCGCCACGGCGTCCGCCTGCTTTTTCACCTTGTCCGGCTCCGACTTGACCTTGACAAGCTGCACCGCAAGCTGCGCGCGCCGCGCCTCTACGTCCGTCCGCGCCTGCCGAAGCTCGTCGTATCGGCTCTGCACCTGTAGGGCAGCAGCGTGCTTTGAAGTGAGCGCCCGAGGAGCAGGTAGACACGTTGGATCGGGAGAGCACGCAGTAAACAATGGGCATCTCTCGCTTGCCACCGCACCTCATTGCGGTCTCGCTGAACCTTTGCGAGCGATGCCTTGGACTTTGCAAGCTCAGCGCGCGCCTCGTCGACCGCCGCCTCAAGTGCCTCGATCTGCGGCGTCAGCTCAGCCGCCTGCCGCGCGGCGACGCTCGCGATGTCCCCCTCGAGATCCTGGTGCACCTTTTGCAGCTCCTCGAGCTCCTGCTCGGTCAGCCCCACCCGTTCCTCCCTGACCGCAAGCTCGGCCTCCCCTTTGGCGACCTCGGCACGCAGCGCGGCTGTAGTCTCGGAGCCCTCCTCCGCCTTGCGGGACACCTCGTCCAGATTGCGGCGCTCCTCTGCCAGTTCGGCATTGAGCTGCTTTGCCTTTGCAAGCAGCGTGCGCTGTGGGGCCGGAGGTGGAGGGCAGTAAGTTCTGCGGCGTTGGCAGCCAATGCAGTTGCGTAGATGCGCAGCGGTGCGTGCTGAAGATTCCCGGGCGAGCGGGTCAGATGGGTGCGCAGGCAGGCGAGGCGGGGCGGCTCAAGCGATGGCACCTCGTTGTCGTATGTCTGAAGGACGGCAGCGTGGAGCTTGGCGAACTTGGACTTGTACAGCTGGAGCTCCGCCTGTGTGAGCTTGCCCTCTGAAAGCAGCGCATCGAGTGTCGCATACGCCGACGAGGCGGAGAGGTCGTCCTGCGCGGACGCCGCTTCCGCCATACTCGGGACGTAACGCCTCCTTTCGTTCACGGCACGGACGAGCATTTTCAGTGTATAAGATAGTGCTGGGGGGGGCGACAGGGGGGACGTGGCTCTGAGTGATGTGTACGCCCACTCAGGGTGTGTGGCAGCCAGCTGGCTGTGTGTCTTGTGAGCCTGTTTGTGTCTGTGTGTCGCTCGAGCGTGTCGTCATCATCTGTCTCGCGTCCACCCCCATACCGCGCTGGTGTCCAGTCCGAGCCTGGCTGTTCTTCACCTTCCTACCTAACCTAACCTAACCTGCAGGAGTGGGGGGTATGGTCCCTCGGCCCCGCCGACTACTGCCTCCGAGCCCGCAGCGCCGTGCGGGTGCCGCGCCCGCGCCCGCCGCTCGCCCCTGCGCCCTGGCGATTGCCAACTTCGTTCGCCGCCGCCGCGCTCACGCGCTCTAGTCTCTTGAGCACTTGAGCACTGGATAGGGTCGATTCCGCGTGGTACGGGTGAACTGCTGAGTGCTGACAGGGTTTGCGATGAGGAGCGATCCGAACGTGGTATGTATTCGATTTTAGAGGGTGGGTGTGTATGAATGGGTTACTGCTAATCGTCAAAAGAGTTTTGTGTTTAGGTATGTTGTTGGCAAATCAAGACACAGAGCTCACGCAAGATCACAGCGGGAGGAAAGCGGCGAGTCGCAATTCCAGGGGTCGTTGTGGCGGGCCACCCTGTCCAGAAAGGCATGGATGCCAATCTGGGGTCTCTCGACCGAGTCTATGACGAGCCCTGGCCGCTCCCGGTGGTGGCAAGGTTAAGCAAGTGATGCGTGTATGAGATTTTCCGTAATTTTTTTGGAGTTTGCTTTTTCGGCCGAGATCTTCTTCGGAACGTGTCACTCTTCAAGGTAGAACACTGATCCACTGTCATCCGCTGGACCCCCCCTGCGTAGTGCGTGCGAGGCGGTTTATAAGGGTGTGTGTGGATCGAGGGGTCCCGTACCATGCGGAATCGACCCTATCCAGTGCTCAAGTGCTCAAGTGTGTGTGGACCGTGAGTTGACGGAAATCGAGGGACGCGACCCACTTCGGCACAAACGGTCCCGCGCCTCGCCGCTATGACGGGGACACACCCCGCACCGTCCGCTGTGTCCCCGTCTTTGTTCTGAGTGAAAAGTCCAACGCGCTCGTCGGTGACGGTGTCCCCCAACCTCCGCCGCGCTCGGCGAACCTCGACAGCGCTTTCGGTGGCATGCACCTCTTTGCGACTGAAGCCTGGAGAGCAGCTCCTCTGCTGCTCACACGGTCTGCACAGTTAGTACAGCCCACTGTGCGGCTGCCACAGCTGTGACAGCGATGGGCTCGCCCTCACTGGCCCTCAGTCACTTGTGCTGCGGCTTGTGTGAGCGACACACACTGCTCGGCGACTGCCGGCACACTGTGAGACCATGGGTGTGAGGTAAAACCGCGCCACCAGCGCTTGGTCACATCGGCCCCGAGGTCAGATCCATCTACTCTGTTGATGACAAGACTTGTCTACTGGCTGGAGGTGGAGCCGAGCAGGAGGGCCCAGCGCACAACCCCTGGTCAACTCACGGTCCACACCCCGTAATAAACGTGGGTCGTGGCAGCGTTCTACAAAACTTTCTGAAAAAACAGCTTGGTTAACCGCATGCGGCATGGGGTTGTACGGCTGACGTATGGCGACCGTGTGGTCCCGCGCTCCACTGCCGAATACTGACGTACCGGATCCGCGGCCGGGGGCGGAGGCGGCCGAGGCGGCTCGTGGCAGCCCTGTCACGTCAGTTTCGAGTTCCTCCGCGGGTGGCCTCTTCAGGCAAGCCAGCCGTCCCGGTTGTAGGCTCGACCCTCCGACGTGTAGTACACAGGCAAGGGCTTGGCCGGCGCCGCCTTGCCCGCGCCACCGCTCGACGCCGCCACCACCGGCGCAGCGGGTGGCGGCGCGGCGGGCGGCGGCGCGGCGGGCGGCGCGGCCGAGCCTGCCTCGTCCGGTGAGTGCTTTCTCCACGCCTGTTCACAAGTCGAGGCGTGAGGAGACGCTGCTCGCGGCCTCGGCCGGGTTGCCCCCTCCTCGCCTCTGCTAGCGACTGGGCCTTCTTTCCCTCGGGGCCAGAGTAGATTCGGTACGGCCGTCCGCTCGGGCCGCACCGCTCCTCGCACGTCCAGCCGGGCGGCGCCTAGCGACAGCCGCACCCGTGTGAGCTGC